AAACAGGGATATAAGTTTTAAACATTACTGGAATTTCTGTGATATAGTTATAATTATTTAAAACATAATGTCGAACCCCTGGAAGAAAATTGCTGCACCTGCAGAAGTACAAGACTTATCGGACATCATGTCCGAAGAATTCGCGAGGGGGCTTCAGGTTAAGGAGGAAATTAGGTTCGCTGAACAGCTCTCAGATCAGCACGGTAGTACGTCTAACGAAATACCGCCGGAGTTGCTGCATGACATCGAGATCTCGAATGTGAAGGATTATTGTGATTCAGATGCTATTATTGCCAAAGTTTTGCAATGCCAATTTGACAGAGAATATGACAATGAACTCAAAGCGGTAGAGAAGAAACGTAACGGGGAGTCAAAAGTCTCGATATCTTATGACAATTTTTATCATGTGCCCAAGCATTTGATTTACGACTCTGATTCAGATGAAGATGATGTGGATACAGAAAAGAAAGATTGGGATCGGTTTGAAACAAACGAGAAAGAATTTGCAAGTTTACCAAAACGAGGGTATGTTATGAAAGATGGAGAGATGGTCACTAAACATGACAGTGTGATCAATGGAAGGAGGAATGCTTGCCGTGTGATGGCATTTCCTCCAGAGGTGTGCACAGGGGATGGTGCTGGGTTTGACATGAAACTCTCCAACTCTGTGTTTAATCATCTGAGAGAACAAACAAAACATTATCAAACACGTAAAACTAAGATGTTGGACCGTAAAGAAAGCCATGCTACTGCAGAAATGGGTCTGGATGAACCCACAAGACTTATTCTATTCAAATTTATTAACAATGAGGTATTGGAGGATATCAATGGAATAATCTCAACTGGAAAGGAATCTGTAGTCTTACATGCTGCTGGTAATACCAAATACCCTGACCTGAGTGTTCCTAAAGAATGTGCAATAAAAATATTTAAAACTACCCTGAATGAGTTCAAAACTCGTGATAAGTATATTGAAGCTGACTACCGTTTCAAGGACAGGTTCTCAAAGCAAAACCCACGCAAGATTGTTCACATGTGGGCTGAGAAAGAGATGCATAACATGCTTCGAATGAAGAAAATTGGATTGAATTGTCCTGATATGGTTTGCTTGAAGAAACATATATTGGTGATGTCTTTCATAGGTAAGGACAACAAGCCTGCCCCTAAACTAAGGGATGTGATTTTGAAGCCTGAGAAATGGCAGAGTGTGTACAATGAGGTGGTGGAGGCAGTGCACACACTGTACAACACGGGACACATGATTCATGCTGACCTCTCTGAGTACAACATCCTGTGGTGGGAGAACAAGTGCTGGTTCATAGATGTGTCCCAGTCTGTGCAGCCTGATCATCCTAATGGTCTAGAGTTTTTGCTAAGAGATTGCCGGAACATTGCCAATGTAAGTATACATAGCCTTGCTGTAAATACAATACAATACTATTGTTGTTTTTGTAGTGTGAAATAATGTTGTGCAATAATTTTGCTGTGTAATGTTGTGCAACAATACACAAATACATTTCTTAAATAATTTTATTTTATTTTCCAGTTCTTTGACAAGAAAGGAGTTACTGACATGAAATCTGGTGAGGATTTGTTCAAGTCAATCACTGGGTTTGATGAAATTGATGTAAACTTCCTTGAAGGTGTTCACACTGTGTACAACTCTCTATCTTCACGCTTTGAGATAGCACCTGATGACAACAGGAACATCAGCTATCCATTTGAGTACTGCTGGAACAAGTCAAATGAAGCAAAGGCACCTAAAAGTGACAAAAGTGCTGATGAAGAAGATGAAGATGAGGAGGATGTGTTTGAGGAGATGTGGACTCATTCCAAACAGAGCAAGACTATCATTGACACGGCTGCTGACTTTGGAAATGAGGTCAAAGTACTAGAAAGTACCTCCAAAGAGAAAGATGATGTGCTGATAGATCATAATGTAACATTTCCTAAAGAAATAAAAGTTGTTATACCTAAGGCAGTTGACATAAGTGAAACAGACAAAAAGTCTTAAAGAATATTTTAAAATAAAGATATTAAAGGCAAAGATTATAAAATGTTTTTTATCCATGTATGAAAAACGAAAAAAAAAAATTTATTACAACCTCTATACTGTTGTATACTACTGATTTTGTATATGGCATTGTAATGTAATTATGAAATTTGAAAAAATAGAATTGAGTGTTAATGGAACAGTTCATATTTTATTTTAATACCACAACAAGAGTTTACTTACTAACTTAACAATTTACATTATATCATATTTATTTAACATAAGCAATAAACTAAAAGTTAAAAGATAGTATAAACTTCCTAATAAATGATTTTGGTGACAGTTATTTGTTAACCTCTTTCATCCGATATCAATTTATGCAATAATTCAACTTGCTGCAAAGTCAGGAACTGTTTGGTATCAGCTGATGCACTAATTAAGGCCTGAGTATCCCCGGTTGCATGGCAGATTACTATTGACTGGAGTTTTAACTTTAAGTCAGTGTTCAGAGGAATTGCTGGAACAAACATTTATCTATATTATTAATAAGAAAATAAATATTAATAGCCATTAACAGCACATGTATTTTCAATATAATGAATCTATTTTCCTGATGCGTAAGACAATATCTATCTAAATATTAGTACATATGTTCTATTGTGTCTCATCAGACAAGCAGTTTATGCAGAATAAGAACTACTATATTACTTACTAAGAAACATTTTGATAAATGTTCTGCAACAATATTTATTTTCAATAATTATGTGTATTGAAATGTAACATCTAATAAATAAAAAATGGGTACAAACCATCACTTTCATTGTCATTCATTAAATCTATGAATAGTTGTTTCAAAGATGGTGGCTTGCAATCTTCTGATGGCTTCACTAGTAGTGTCAGCAGTATTCTGCTCACTTGTACTCTGGAATCAAGTTATTAAAAATTTTAGCAGTTTTTTTTTTAGTGTTAGGCTAGTACCAGTGTATCTTTTGCCTAGTCATATGTAGGTACTTTTCTAAGTTCATTAACACATCGTGCAGGAATATCAATTTATAATTTCTCTAATTAAAACTGCCAATTCGACTTGAAGAGAAGAAAGTTCAAACCTTCTCTTTGCTCAGCAGAGCACTTATAAGCTGATGATGTTGTGATGTGTTATGCAAAACAGTCTTATTATTTCACCAATTTTTTTATAGTTTGCACACAAAAACTGTTTCATGAAGCTTTTTCTACTGGTGTCTGAATAGAGACCCAATTTCAAAATATTAATTACATAATATTTTACTTACTCTGCGAGAACATCTTCGGGTACATTAGCATTGGGACCATCAACAATCTTATTTGCTAGCTCCAAAGCAATGTCATATTTCCCTGTAAAAAGTTTATTTTATAAGGCAAACAAAGAAATATTTTATGCTATTCCAAGTGCGTTTCTTGGCTTTGAATAAAAAGTCCCAAGATTCAACAAGTACTTCTAACAAAATAGTCTTTTTTTAAGTCATAGCACCCATTCTACTACCTTCATAAACTCAGTGGCACACAGTTCAAAGAACTAATGTTCTGAATTTAAATTGATCTGGCAAAAACTAGCTATCAAGACACTGTTGTGCTCTTGAAGCTTAACAATTTAAAGAATAAACAAGAAAGTACCACTGTCTATCCTCAAACTGAGAAGGTTCTTCAAACAAATAGTCTTCATGGTAGTCTCGGTGACAGTCTCAAGAGCCTGTTCATAGTATGCTGCTGCTTCCAACTTGTGGTTTAATTCCACCAGGTCACTTGCCAGTTCCATCAGTATAGATGTCCTTATTGGAGACTTCTCTGGGTATTTGTTCAATGCCTGAATGTAACATCCTGTAGCTGCCTAAAATCAGATATTAAAATCTGTTCAGATGCACAGGGCATGGACCACTAAGTTAGCAGTCATAAAAATATAGTATAGTATAAAATTGTTGCTTTGAGCACCTTTTTTAAATTATCATCACCCAAAGGTTTTGCTGTTAGAGAATGCATTGCACATGCATGGCATTGAGCACACATTTTGTAAAAAAAATGTGCATAAGGGTATTAAATAAATATAAAAAATATTTATGCACCCAGTAAAATAAATTGTTTGATTGTTTAATAATTTACGAAACTATTTTTACCTCCAAGTTTTCTCTGTCAGCACTATAAAATTTCAAAGATTTCAATTTCTTTTCAGCCTTCATGAACTGTCGAGCTGCCGCTAAAAAATGTTCCGCTTCACCTAAGAAGTGGCCAACAGAAGCTTCACACTTGGCAGCGCCGACATAGGCGTGCCCCGCGAATGCTGGCTGGTCAGAATGCTCGCATTGAATAGCGAGGGCTATAAACTCATTCGTTGCCTCTGATACATTGGGCTTCCGCATAAACCGTCTGTAATTTACATATTATACAGTAATTATGCTAGATGGCTAATCATCAAACTGCAGTGATGTTGAAACTTACTTTTTCATTTTGGTGTTAATATTCATATATTGCTCGTTAAAACTGGCACCGAGATCCGTAGACATTTTTGCTAAAATATTCTAAAACTTAATCAAACGTTTAATTATTTAATAGGTTTTTGTAGAAAATCAAATCACGGTAAGTAGGCCCAATTGCACATTGAAATAAATAAACAATTCCTCTAATGAATGTCCAATGTCAGCAGAGATGTGTCAATGTCAAAAATAAATATTATCAAACACTGTAAAAAAAGAAAACCAACCTTATAACAATGGAGTAAGATTCATATCAAAACTAGATCTTAACAAACAAGAAATATGATGGTAACTGTCAAACAGTAAAAGGTTCGTTTTGTTACAATATTTATTCTATTTTCTTCAAAGGTTTTTGCCAAACAAGATGTTAACGGGGCCTATAATAGTGAATATGAGTCATATTTGGGCAAGATAGATAATGATTATATTTATGTTTGGAAATAAGCAAAATTAATTATATTTTTTGAAACATCACAAACAAAGCATTAGTAGAACAAAACGTAATTTGGGCATGTCAAAAATGCTTTGACGTGTCTCGTAGGGTTGATTTAATTTTTGTGAGTTTAAGTATTTTGTGCAATGATTTCGTATTAATAGGATTTAATCGTGTTCTAGTAATAAATAAAGAATTAGTGCAAAATGGATTTTCTAAAAAGCGGTCTGAAGACCGTGCTGGGTGCACCGGAACCTGGCCACCAACCTTCTGGAGCAGAGATTGTAAGTATTTCAATATTTACTTTCTAGAATTAAAACATAAGCTGACCTATTTATAGTATGCGATATAGAGTAGCTATTTCTTATCTATAGTTCAGCGTAGGCGGGTCCAGATGTCTGTAAATTGGTTCAGTATTCCATGAATGTGACAGCACTTATGTTCCAATAAACGATGATACATAACTTCTTTATTCTTATTAGAAGCATTTATCATTGTTTATAACTAATTAGTATTTTGATTAACCTGCCCTAGAACTGTCCCTTTTATTTTCAGCTTCAGGGTCATCGTTGACATCATTTCCTTTACTCCCTTGTAATAACATACACTCTTTAAAAAAAATTTCCTAGTTCCATAAAGGCCTGGTACTCTTATGCTTATTATGATTTTGAAAATTCATGGTTGAGAAAACATTAATTGTGTTATCAAAATAGACATTTCATTACAAACTCATTTTAATAAACTCACATTGCATGACATAATAGGTTTTACACTTATAAAAGGTCTTGTTCTCTTTGATAACTGTATTACTAATTAAAAAATACTTTTTATTGTTAATTATCATTTCAATTAATTAGAATATTCATTAATCTGCTAATAGAATGTAAATTAACAGTAATTGTTTATATTATTTTTAATTTTGTGATAGAACTTAACTTTTTTTACCAACACCTTAGTGTATGGACACTTTATTAACACACCTAACTTATGCAGAAATAGCCCATAGCCAACTAATAGACTGTCCTAGGCTTTTCACTTTGTTACTTTAGTTATTAGTTATAACTAAAGTAACATATAACACACTAATTAATTCCATGAAAACCATGCTGCCTCAAAATTAAGACATATTGCAAAGTATATCAATACAATTTTGACCTTACTTATCACATGCAAAGTATTATAGTTTATTTGATGTTTTCCATTTTTCTGACATAGTAAATCTTCATTGGACTTCCACGAGTATTTGATTTCTAAAATTAACAAAGTAGGTTTAACCATTCTTGAGTTTTAGCAGGACTAATAAACAGCACTGCATTATTATATCTATAGGAAAGAATGATTGGGAAATTCAGCATTCCATGTTATATGTCAAACAAGTGAATTTCATAAAGTAGTTTGTGTGTAACATGTTTATTTATGCACTTGGCAAACTGACATTAATGATACTGATAGACTTTAAAACAATATTTCTTGATTACAAAGTTAATAAGGTTACAACTGTTTTGATAACTTTGTCTATCTTATGTCTCTTATTTGTTCTGGCAATAACACATGAGGCAATAAGTCAATAGAATTCATTTAGTTCACAACTAAGTCACAATATTAATTCATCTAACATCCAAGTGAACACATTTGCACAACTATTCATCTTCAAATGTGTCTTTATTAAATTTAAATTCAATTGTGTATTGTGTCTTGCTTAAATATTTCGCCTCTAGCTCTCTTATAAAGTTTGTGCTAATATCTAAATGGTAAATATTTCTTCCTATTTCTTGGCCTTGAAAACTACTGTTATAATGTGATAAGGTGAAACAGGATATGGATTATTTTCACAGATGATTTAAGTTTTATATACACCTGTATAAACAATTATAATGACAAAAAATGGCTTAAATAAAATATATGATTCACAAAACTGAATCTATTTATTTATTTACTTTATTAGTTGATTGATTAATATGGCGTAAATGTAAACTAATCATTTTGAAAAGAACAGAATCGTTCATATTGATAGGAAATACACTGATGCACATGTTCCTCAACCTACTTCTTAATTTTCCAGGTGGAACGCTTAGTAGACCGGGTGAACAACTCGACGCTGCTAGAAGATCGACGCGATGCGTGTCGTGCACTCAAAGCGATGTCGCGCACCTACCGTGTCGAAGTCGGTGCACAAGGAATGGACACTCTCAAACAGGTTACATATTATTATTAGTACTAGGCCATAATGCCCCACTGCTGCACAAAGGCCTCCCCATCTCGCTTCCACACGTCCGTCTCGAGGATAGGCGTTCAGTTCGTCACGCAATCGCTTCTGGGTGAATAAAACATATAAAACAAAGTCGCTTTCTCCTTCGCTATGTATGCTTAAATATTTTAAACTACGCAACGGATTTTGGTACGGATCTTTTAATAGATAGAGTGATAAAAGAAGAATGTTATACTTAGGATTTAGTACCAGCATTCAAACCGCAGTTGGAAGCTGGGTGGGGTGGGTCGCTAATATAAAGATTATTTGTAAATAAGACGAACCGAAGAACCAAAGCCGCGTGAAATCTTGGATCCGATCCGCCAATTTCTTTTTAGGTCTTTGCCTGCCGAGTAAAAACTGTTGAAGACGAATTCTCGCTAGCGTCAGTCATTGGTAACCACACTATATCATGGAAGCTTACAAAACATGGTCTCTTTCCAGGTACTGGAGTTGGACCGAGCTGACAACGAAACTATAAACTATGCCTTAGACACCCTCAACAACGTAATGTCACCGACACAGTTTGAGGAGGAAGAGACCAACCCTCGCGTCCCCTTGAACATCGGGGAGCAGTTCACAGAAATGTTCATCAAAGACCATCACAATATACAATTAGTGCTCGATCTACTAGACGAGTATGACTTCAGAGTCCGACTCTCCGCAGTACAACTGCTCACATCACTCCTCACAAACAGACCAAAAGACATACAAGAAATTATCCTAGTCAAACCCATGGGCGTATCAAAGATGATGGACCTTCTTGGAGATACAAGGGAAGTGATCAGGAACGAAACTCTACTCTTACTAATAAAGTTAACCAAAGGTAACGCGAATATACAGAAGATTGTAGCATTTGAAAACGCTTTCGATAGATTGTTCGAAATAGTGTCGACGGAAGGTTACTCTGACGGTGGAATTATTGTGGAAGACTGTTTGCTACTGATGTTGAATCTATTAAAGAATAATAGCAGTAATATAAACTTCTTTAAGGAAGGCAGTTACATACAGAAGATGTTGCCTATGTTTAACACTCCTGACGAGTCTGAGGAAGCTGGCTGGTCGCCACAGAAGGTCTCCAACGTACACTGTATGCTGCTTATCGTCAGGACTTTGGTCTCTCCCAGCAACTCCGCACAAATTATCTCTAGTTGTCAGAAAATTATGAAAAACGTTGGCCTGTTGGATGCTCTCTGTAACATTCTAATGTCGAGTGGAGTGCCCGCGGATATCCTCACGGAGACTATCAACACAGTAGGGGAGGCAGTGAGGGGGGATGTGACTAACCAGGAGTTCCTAGGCAACGTGATGGCGCCCTCCAACCCTCCGCGACCAGCTATCGTAGTATTACTTATGTCTATGGTTAATGAGAAGCAGCCTTTCTCTTTAAGGTGAGTTTATTTATATATATTTTTTTATGTGATAGGTCGGCAAACGAGCAGGCGGATTACGGTAAGCAATCAGCGCCGCCCATGGACACCCGCAACAGAGGAGTTACGAGTGTGTTGCCGATCTATTAGGGATTGAGGAGGGATTGGGGGAGGGGAAGGATTGGGCCTCCGGTAACCTCACCCACACGGCGAAACGCAACGCTGTGGTTACTTCACGCCTGTTTTCTATGAGGCCGTGGTATCACTCCTGTCGAGCCCACCCATTCGTGCCGAAGTGCTGTCCCACACTTTATTATATATAAAACTAGCTTCCGCCCGCGGCTTCGCCCGCGTCAAATTAGTTTTTGTCAATCCTGGTCCCTTATGTCTAAGAGACTCTTACAGGGGCCAGCCCAGGAGTACCATTTTCAAATTCCATACTTCTTGTGGAATTTGAAAACGGTACCCCTCTTGCTCATTGCTAAACATAAGCGGGTGTTGTAGTGCGTCATAAAACTCGTGTGTGTCGGACACCCTAATCAATGTGTTATCATGGGTTTGAAAAACAATATCGCGCGATGCGAACTGTTCACCACACACCATGGCAGCGACTTCGTTTATTAAGGGTGCATTATAACGTCTTTCATGTTCCCCGCTTGGCGTACGATCTCCGAATATTACTAATTTGTGATTTTCCCGTGGCATTTTTTCTAAGGCTGTTTTGAAGGTATTAATGAGGTTATTATGTTCGTGTAACATTCTTTGAATTTTTAAAACAATGTCCCTCTCATCTCCTTCAATATTTTGCCATCAACAGTCAACCTCGCTGTTTTCGTCTCCCATAAAATCAATCTGTAGAAATTTTGGTTGACCATTGTTTGTGGAAAGCAATGAACCAATCCTATGATAAACTTGCCCTTGTACCGTAAATGTGGGTGAAAATACAGGCATAATGACAGGAAAAATCGCCGAGATTCATTGCTGTCCTTTCTTCTGTCGTTGCTCCTCGGGGTCACCAAGCGTTGGTACTGATACTTTGCCTCCAGAACAGTACATACTTAGGGTCTCTTCCTTCCACTTGAGTGCCTCACAGTGTTTGCATTTATTGGCCATTCTACCTATGAGGACTAATCGATGATTAAAGTAATCAAGTAACAGATCATAACTAAAAGCAGCATCGGCAAATGCCTCCCACGTATTCATCGTAAACGTACGTCTCCTTTCTGTTTGCCGCTTGGCTTTAATCAAACGTCATCTACGTGTTTCTTCGCGGGTCTCTGCGGCTATGTACGAAGCTTGACGCTCAGCATCTAAGATTTGGTGAGCTTGGGACTGTTGAGAAGTCTCAGCAGCTCTTTGATCCGTGTGACGCTCTGCATCAATGATTTGGCGAGCTTGGGACTGTTGAGACGTCTCAGCAGCTCTTTGAGCCGCGTGAGCTTGGGTCTGTTGAGAAGTCTCATTCCAGTGATCTTGCAAGTTTACCAGCCCGAACTCTGCTAGAGCTTTTAGCTAAATTGGACTTTCGTTTGCGAGGCATCGTAGAACAACAAAAATGAAATGAATCGAACAAAACAGATGTACAGATTAAGATTTATTATATTATTAATAAAGCTTTGTCACCCTTCCTGCACCTACTTGGATGAGTACTTATTTACAACCAATGCAAAAAAGTAGGATGCTATTAGATAAATTGAATAAAAAAGGAAATAAAAGCAAATCGTATTTATTTAAAGTAACGGACACTATCTTACCTACTTGTAACGTTGTAACTATGAACTAAAAGAAATATTAAGTATGTGCAAAATTTATTTACAGGATCTTAAAAAGTTAGACGAAACAATAAAATAATTTTACTGGTTCGAAAAATGTAATTCTCTGAAGCGCAAATTTCTCTTATCGTACCCGACAACGACCTCTGTCCTCACGTGTCTGTCCGTTCGGGTATGTCTACCAGTTAGATTCGTGCGCTTTCCCACCACACGACAGCGCCGAGCCGCACTTCGGCGAATGTGCGCGACGCCGACGGCAGCGACGGCGATGCAGAGTGTTCATTAAAAAGAATTTATACTTCGAAAGTATTTTGTAACTTGATACACCCAAAACTTCTAAATTACATGTTCCTAGGTTGAATAGTTAAGATTTCGTATACTTACCTACATAAAGGTTGGCTTTGTAGATCCCGTTCCGAATCCGTTCCGGGTCTTATCTTCAATTCATCCCCTATTTCACTACATATCACACTGATAAAATTTTCAAAATGCTAGTACAAACGATTTTTTGTTTCTTATGACGTGATATTTGATGAAATTGCATACTTACTAACTTTCAACCCTTATTTCACCCCCTAGCTGGTCGAAATTTCAAAAATGCTAGAACAAATATTTCATATTTTCTTATCAAGTGCTTGAATATTAAGTTTTATGGTTTTATCTTTAAAAATTACGAAATCCCATACAAACTTTTAACCCCTATTTCAACCCCTTTATCCCTGTTTTTCAAAAAAAAAGTAGCCTATGTTCTGTCTCAGGGTCTAAAGATTGTCTGTACCAAATTTCATTAAAATCGGTTGCGACTTTGCGAGGTTTAAGCGGGAAAGCGTAACAGACAGACAGACAGACAGACAGAGTTACTTTCGCATTTATAATATTAGTTAGGATGTTTATTTTCTTTTCATGTCTATAAAATCAAGTTAGAAATGTTAGTTCATACTTAGATAATTACCTTGAGAATAGTTAGTGTGATACCTGATATCCTTGTTTTCACATTCCTAATAAAAAATCAAAAATTAACAAAGAAGCATTCTGTTAATTTGATGCTTATGAGTGTCAGAAACCTTTATAATTTCAACTTATAATAATCTAACAATATTATTCCAGATGTGCAGTCCTATACTGCTTCCAATGTTACCTGTACCACAACGAGATGAGTCAAGCCGGCCTGGTGCAAACATTACTACCGTCTTCTTCAGACATGTCATCGTTAACAAGCGGGCAGCTTCTATGTGGTGGTTTATTCTCATCGGATGTGCTCTCCAACTGGTTCTCAGCTGTAGCCCTGATGCATGGCCTGATAGATAACCCAGCACAGAAGGAACAGCTCCTCAGGGTGTTACTGGCTACCAATATTGGCAGCTCACCCGTGTCACTGCTCCATCAATGTACTCTGCTCCTGCAACAGACTACTAAGCTTAAATCTAAGGTATGTGGTAAATTATGGTGACAGATGAAACATTCAGGCAGGGTTGTTGGAATAAGGGCTATAATATAACGCGGGTTCGGCCTGAAGTAGACTCGTAGTAAGAGTGACACTCTCTCTCGCCCCGAGCGAGAAAGATATATGGCGATGTTCCCCCCTTTAAACAAAAAAAACATGGCAAAGGCAAAACCCTTTTATATAGGAAATGTACCTAGTGCAGTTTGAACGAATGTCTGATTTTGTTTCGGCATTTCTTCTCAGAGTATTCATCTAGCAAATGCTGGCTTTATCTAGTTTTGACATATAATTTGACGTGTAATTCATTCATTGTTTCATTGTTTTATCGTCATTGCGACTGCTACGTTAAAGTCTGGACTGTCATGGGAAGTCTTTATTTATTTCTTTGGACCTTTCTTACAAACATACAACGTTTCCCAATGCCCATAGAGAGTGAGGGATCCATTCACAATAAACAAATAAAAAAAAATACACATAATCAACAAATATTTCTATGATATGCCTACAGGTGGGTCTCCTAATGCTGCTATGTACATGGCTAAGCTACTGCCCGGCTGCAGTAGCGGGGTTCTTGCGAACGAACGCAGTGAGCTGGCTGGTGGCGCAGACGTGCTCGGCGGAGCACGACGACAACGAGTACCTGCTGCAAGGACTCTCCGCGTTCCTGCTCGCCATTTGTATACACTTCAATGATGATACCGTTGACAATTATTCTAAGGTAAGCAACATAATAATTCCGAACTTCATGATGAACTAATTGGTGTAATGCTTAAAGTGCAGGTTCAGAGCTCGATAACAAAACTCACGAATATCTTTTTCTTTGCTCTACTTAAGCGCGGTAACGTTTACTTGATACTAACTACTATGGAGCGGTTTCATCGAAGCGTGATGTTTTGTAGCCTATAATATTTCTCGATAAATAGACTAACAACACCAAAAGGATTATTTAATTCACGGAATAGATAAATAAGGTAACCTATTATCCTATATAACCTTATTTATCTATTCTATAACTATTTATCTATTCTATAACCTTATTTACCTTATTTATCTATATAACCTTATTTATCTATTCCGTGATTTAATTTGAACCAGTTTTTTCGGAGATGTGCGCGTTCAAACGAACAAACTTTACACCTTTATAATATTAGTACAGATTTTTGTTGTTTTAAAATTAGTTTTATGTAATGTAATTCCTAAATAATCGCTTGACCGATTTTTTGAAAATTCACATAAGCCATTTACTTCTTAATAGTCCGAACAACGCGTAAACACTTCATTAGGATAGGCGAGTCCCTTCTTGAGTTATAAAATTACAAGGAAAAAGATGCATAAATTTTTATATTTAAGTACCTATAGATTTTCTCTTGGGTATTAAAATTGTATTTAAGCTGGGCAGTCTTTAAAATAAAATATAGGTATTTATGGTTGAAATCTATGTACCTACGTATTTTTTTTTTTCGAATGTTCCACATCACTAATATTTTACTGGTAGCCCCATTAAACAATTGCCCGGTTTTTTTGTATAATCTTTATCTGTTCAGTGCTGCATACAGTTTGGTGGAAACATCGCCTAGCCGGTTTGGCACAAACAACGCCAAGGCTGGCTAAGATCGGCAAACCATTTTCATTTATACAAGTAACCATCACAAGGTCGATTATCATTCATAATAAAAGCTTCCATAATAAAGTATTAAAACATTCCTGTCTCTGGCATGCAGGAGTCCCTCCGCCAGCTCCTGACGAAGCGTATAGGCGTGGAAGTGTTGACATCGAAGCTGTGCGAAGTGTCGCGGCACGAGCTGTACAACGTGGCGGCCAAGCACCCCCAGCTCCGCGCCAAGCTACCCGCCGACGTGCTTATAGACTACGAGTTCTGTCGACTCTTCAAGTTGTTAGAAAGTAAGTAGATATAAAACTTCTTCTGTAATATAAAAATGAATCGCTAGATATGTGGGTAAGTCAGTGCGTAACTCAAAAACTCAACCTTTTTTGGTTGAGATTTTTATAGTCAGTAAAGAGTACGGATGATAATTTTAGCAAAATAGAGGGGGTAGTCGGGATATTACAACCATTTCGATACCCGTGCGAAGCAGGGACGAGTGGCTAGTTATACTATAAAAATACTTTAATAATATAATTTTCTTCATCAAACGAGCAGTTTGGTCATCTCATGGTAAAGCATCGTCGTCGGATAAGTGCAATGAGTCACCGCGGCCTCGGCCCAGAGCAGAAGAAGGACGGGGGTTTTTAGTCAGCAAGAGTCTGATACTCCCTCCTCTTACCTCACCCTGGACGGGGGAAGACATTTGATGATTGTCTCATCATAAAAAAAAAACACCAGAGAAGTTGCGAATGTATTGCGCAAAAATACCTTTGCTCCTGTCTAGGATTTTCTCATGTAATACCCTGGGAGAGAAATTTTTGGATCAGAGTTGTTCCGTGCGTGATTAAAAGTCGCGACATGTTCCCCGGCAACCGGTAGCCTAGCCACCGAGTCAACTGTGCAGTCGGGCCAAGTAAAATGATTGCGATTTCCAACTAGTGGTTGGTCACCACGTCGCTCATTTTGCTCAAATTATAAACCCCATTCGTATCTTGAAACTATTCGAGCACCCTCGTAAAATACAAGCACACGTGATCTAATTATAATCTCTCCTCAATTGCAGGTGTAGTCGTCCAAAGCCTATCAGAGCGTCGGCCGGAGAACGGCGCAGGGTCCCCGGCGACGGAACGGGCGTCCCCTGAGGACGGCACCCTGCAGCAGTACAAGACCCTCATTCGCCAGCAGGACGCCTGTCTCCAGGAACTTAGGCAAGAACAACAGGCGCTGGTGCAGGAGAACCAGAATCTGAAGGTAAGCTTCTAACAATAAATGTTAATACAAAAAAAAAAAACTGTTAAATTCCCTTTAAAAAATTGAGCGATTTCAAACGCTTACATCGGTATCCGTATTCTACATTGACAATAATAAACTTAATACAATAACTACTCTCTCCATTGGGTAACCAGTAACCTAACTCACCCGGCGAAATATAACGCTGTGGCTGTTTTGTGAAGCCGTGGTATTACTCAGGTCGAGCCGAACTATTCGTGCCGAAGCATGGCTCTCCTACACTTCATTTGCGATGAAGAATAATCATCTAAAATTAATTTTGTTTGTATGAAACGCGACGAAATAACAATCAAGATAGGTTTCATTGTAAGAAAATAATACATAAGCTAAAAATCTATCGGTACTGAAATAATAATAATAACTATTTGATTTAACTTGCAGGCATCTCTAAACGACTCACTTTCAGCGATCTCCCACCTGAAGGACGAGAACACACTATTAAGAGCACAAATGTCGGCTGCAACGGCAATACCTAGTCAGGCTCCCCCTCCCCCCACTCTTGACGACTCCAGGGTCCAAGAATACGAGGCCAAGCTCCAAGGTCTGTCTGCTGAGGTGACCAGGCTCTCCGGAGAATTAAAAGCTAGTCAGGAAGGTCAGAAAGCTATGGCTGAGGAGCTGGAGAAGATTAAAAAAGATCAGGATGATCTATTGGAGTTACTTGCTGATCAGGTTTGTAGATGTTTTTTTTTTGTTTTGTTTTAGTAGTATACTTTTGTTTTAGCAAGCATAACAAACATATTAATGTGTTATTTTATTTCGACAAATAAGACAAAGTTAAAAACATTTATTCCAACTAACCATGTGTACCCTTAAAATATCAAAAAAAGAATAATAGTCTGAATTATTACTGGAAATAAGTATAAGAGCTCACCCACACAGGAATGCACGGATTTTGGGAGTTTTAAAGATCGTGTTTTAACACATTCAGTGCACACATACATTAATGTATAGAACGCACAGGTGCGTCGAGGGCACACAGAGTAGCGTAAGGAAACGCACATACGCGTCGGGGGCACTGGATGTGTTAAAAACTCCCAAAATGACAAAAAATATATGCAGACATTTGTGTTAGCACCACCTATTCTGCTGTTTACCCTTCTTCTTTCAACTTTAATCACATGTATGTATTTGTTCATACATAATTAATTCTGCAATTAATCAATTTCTTCAATGAACCCTATTAAAAAGCGGTTCTCAAACAAAATGTTTATTCATATTCCAGGATATAAAGTTAAACGACTACAAGATGCGACTTCTGTCGCTGGGCCACCCTGTGGAGGATGAACTGGCGGGCCCCGCGCCGGCCCCGACGCCGGGGGCGGGCCCTGCGCACGCGCAGCTCTCGTGATGTCTGCGCCCGCGCACCGTCAGTACTGCGCGAGGGAGCTGGCGGCTGATTCCAGCAGGGAATAGCGTAGACAGGATTTAGGACTAAACACTACTGCCTCTATATATAATAATTACTATAATACTTCTGATTACGATTTCTAGGACTCGAATTTTGAGTCGTGCAAAGTATAGAAATAGCTAGTTTGGACATTCACTTAGTATGTGGCTACTAAAGTAAGTTCCCGTTTTGCATACAATTTGGGATTATCTGCGAAAACCAAGTTTAATCATTGTGCCGCTACATCATTGAGAAAGATATGCATGATTTGTTCTGTACAAAATAATAATAAAATAACTTATTAATCTCTCCTTCTCACCTTTTGGTTGAATATAAAACCCTACACATTCAAAATCTGTTATAACGACATCGAAGGGACTACTTATCATCATCATCAGCCTGATTAAAGAGTAAATAGGTCTGAATCAACAAAAAAAATCTAGGTTATGAATAGTTGCGGTAGCTCAGTACTGTTTGCTAATTTTATTACTTTAGTCAATTTATTTAGAAGTACCCCAATGTCTGCATGCGGTAAAGATATTGTATAATGTATAAGTTGATAATGTACTTATAAAGTGGTACATTTGTGCCTACAAAGTGCAATGTTACAATGTCTGTTTGGAGTTTTCCCTCGGCATCAAGCTAGTTTAGAAGCCATCTCACTCGTGCATTACCTACAGAATAAAGAATATTTATAATATATGTCAGTAATATATTTCGATATTGTTAAGATAATATTGTGATTTGAATGTAAAAATGTATGAAATATAAAGTTACGATGCGTTTTGTTCAGAAATTGTTTCAATTTCCCTGCCAATATGCCTCGAAATACTTGACTTTGGTAATAACTATGCTTTTCGTTAACGGATCGAATCATTAAATTACTTCTCTCGTACTGGGCGAGAGAGAGTATCAGACTTTCTCTTGCTCCGGGCGGGACCGCGGTGCATTTTTACGCTTGCACCTACAACCTACTAGCTACTTTCAAGCGGTTTCACCCGCTACTCGGCTCCATTTGATCGTAGCGTAATGTTTTATAGCACTAAGGAACATTGTAGCTATCTATCAGTGAAAGAATTTTGGCAATCCGACCAGCGGTGCCAAAGATTACCCGCTACATACAAACTTACTATTAGTATAGATAACGACTTACCCACGTGAATGAACTGAGAAAAGCTCCAATAGTTTCAAGTGTCAACTTTCTGGGCTCTTATAATGTAGTATGTCTCACAATACTACTCACTACCGTTACGTTACTATTCAAAAATATGGGGGAACTCCTCTGTTAGCATTGTCAAATGCGTAAATTATCGTTCAGTAATTTAATTTCACAAAAGAAAGAAAAGCCTCCTTGCCTTGATTAAAAGGTTTAATATGATTCATACATAACTCATTCTTTAAGATACACTTACACAATAAATATTTGTCTATCTACATTAATTTTATATGAACAGTCTCAATTACATGATAAATCAATAACGGAATTCATGCGTGTCATGTGTATGTGAAATTGTATGTTTGTAACCGCACCCACGAGTCACGACACAGGAGAAAATCCTAATGTGGGACGTTTTTTTTTTTTAAAAAAATGTATGCACCTTAACAAACAAAAATTCTGTTAAGTTTGATTTCGTTTATCCAAACTAGTGTACTAAGAGAGTAAACTTGAAAAGTGATCACTATTACTATGGGCTTAAGAGTTTCATAAAAGTGCCAAAATGACCAGAAATACGAATAAGTAATATAATTCACCATGGTTTACAAAGATTAAAAAAACTTTTAGATATCTATAATTTAGACAGCATTCGCTAATTTTTCGACCACCATGTAACATTAGGGCTATATTTTAAAACAATAAATAACATGGCCATGTATGGGAGGAAATTTGGAGAATATTACACAGTTGAACCAATAAAACTGAAGACTAATGATCCATTTTTCTCATATAAGGGAATGTATTTAATACTTGAATAACCTTCATTACTTAAACCTAAAGTTAACATATATAGGTAACATAAGCATTATACAATAAATACGGTTTTCTTCAATCCGTTTCAAACATCATGACGTCTGGTTTTGCGCAAATTGCGCTTCCGATGCGCAATGAAGTTTGAATGGCACTGTGCTATTTTAATTAAGGGCAGAAAAAATCAAGCAATAACACTGGTAAATACTTCAAGTAAATACCTATAGGTAAAATAGAATAAGTACATATTTTTTATGGAATAGGAGGTAAACAACCGGCCAGATCACCTGAAAGTGTGTTAGATGATAATTTTTATTTACAAGTTAATTTAAACTAAATAAATGATGTGTGATTGTTTGTTTAACAAGCGGTGATATGATTCAAGAGGTAATTAATATTATTACTGCAACCTCCGTATCTTCGTTATTATTTTTATACAAATAGAATGCCTATCTTCTAAATTAATTCATAGACATTATTATAATATGTTTTAAGCTCAAAGCCTGAAGCAAGATTTTTACAATAATATTTTAATGTGTGCTTATTTGAAATTAAAATAAGACATATCTATTGCAATAAATGAAATTAGAAGTATCAACAGTTTTGTAATATTGAAAATGAGTAACTCTGCAATAACTTACTCAATAATATTTTTACATGAGACTCAATAACAATGGTCTTAAATAAATACCTATTATAAATAATTAATCTGTAGATAAATAAATGTTTAATTTCTCTCTAACCTAACCTTGAGTTTGTAATATTTTATGGTCGTTTTTATTGCTCGTAAAGCAAACCTTGAGAAGCGCAATATTTGAGGTACACTGTGAACTGTTTCTTTCTTCATAGGGGATGATTTATCATTTGGACTACTGCTATTCAGTTCTTCTTGCTGTTGATTATATTTTTTTATAAACATCAATCATGAATTTACAATAAACATCTTGAATTTCAATACACTCCTTCACAAAACATCACAGCGCGCCTCAAAGATCACACCATTAACATAGAATCGTGTTTAAATCTAAACGAACCGCATCTATCCATGATCAAGTATCCGAAAACAACATGTAGAGCGCAGGCAGCGCTCCCTGGCAACTACGTGACGTAGAAGTAGACTCCTACACACAGGAGCACACCGAGGACTAGGAACACCATGATAAGGATGAACCGGTCTTGAAGAGCTCGCATCACCATCGTATTCATGAGCCGAGATGATCTGTTTAGTTGCTCATCTGTCTCGCGAAGCTGGAAGAGTAGGAGTTTGGATTTATAATGTGTCAACAGTTATGTGATTCGTGTATATGTGTGTGGGCAAACTTGGTTTAAAGTTTGATTGAAAAGGTTGCAGTGCTCTAGTTCAATACATACAAAATAAGGCAAAATACTGGCGATCACCGGTTGTAATACTTAAGTACACGCAATATCTAAAATCAAGCTTAGTATTTCGCATAAGGCGCCATTTTTCTTAATACCATTATAATAATACTAATGCAACTGGTAAAACGTTTACCATTATTACATCGTTACAAATTATATAACTTTAAGAACGTGTTTTTTTATACGTCGGCAAAGACTAACAAATAAAATAAACAAAACCAACATCAGCCTTATAGGGCCCCGTCTGTGGTGGTTTATTGGCTCCTTGAGGCGCGCGCAGCACGCAACGTGCCTTACGCTCGGGCATTACCAGCCTTTTGAGGATTAGGAATTTTGGGGTCGGGGAGGGAGAGGGGGAAAGATTGGACCTCCGTCAAACTCACTGAGACGGGGAAACACAAAGCGGTATCATTCTGGTCGAGCTGCGCCATTCGTGTCTAAACTTGGCTCTCCCTTGACTTGTAATTCAATTTATAACTTTGTAGTAAATACAAAATGTAATCTCACCCTGCCCCTCGACCTCTGAATAGTCTCCCTCTGAACACTTAGATCTTGCAGCACAGCAGCTCCAATCTGCTCTGTCTCCAAAACGACGCGGTAGCCCTCTGTCAGGGTCTTCCCAGTGCGCTCCAGTCGCTCCGTATTGTCCAGCAACTTGCGATGCTGCTCATTCGCTCCACTCCAGTCATCAAAGACCTCGTCATTTTCGTAGTTGTCTGATGAAAGATGAATAAGTTTATGTCATTTTTTTATTCACGGGTAAAAAATATCGGATTGGTTTGTAGTCAGTATGTCTTCTTATTGAATAAAATCCACCCCATTCCTTTTCCTACTCTGAGCCAATGCAGCAGTACGTTACTGCGCTTGTTCGCGCCACCCCATAGTTTACAAGGTCAAATGAATCAACATTTTCATCATTGGTGTCAGTTGGAAATTTAAACCAGTGCGTCTAGGTACGCTATAGCCTATAAATACTATTGCATTGCATCTAACTTTTACTGAGAGGAAAAGAGAAAGCCTTTCAAATTCAGGAGTAGAGGCTCGTGATGTCACGCTTTCGTAAAAAAATACGAAATAATGACGTAGCGCGAACTTCGCCGCTCTGTAACTTTGTAATTTTCAGTTTTAGAAGCAAAAGAAAAAATACGTATCTACTATTTTCTGGCGTTCTAAAAGATGGACTAATTATTATTTTTTACTCGTCATTTCTATTGTGAAATAGCTTTACAAGAAGATTTCAATCCGTGACAAGAACTTTCTGGACTTCTCGAGAAAAAATATAAATCGTAATACAACCACGAAAGTTTATAAATATGAAACATGACACAGAGATAGTCTGGGGTAAGACATGGCTACCCTGGCTCTGTTAGCTGCCAGATGCCTGTATTCAAATATTACAGATATAGTCAACAAACTACCGCAAAGTCAAAGTTCGACGGGTCTTTAAACTGCCCTCACAACTTGACACTGGCAGTAGAGTCGGAGACTCAGTTGCCATTAAGAAAAAAAAAGTTTTAAATACTTACAGGAGCCGGTGTTAAGAACAGAGCGATATTCATCTCTGACACGTTGCAGCTCAGCTCGGTAGGCTGCCACGCGAGAACCAGCTCCGATACCACGAGATTCAAGCTCTAACTGTTCCAACTGTCACAAAAAGAGACTTTAATATTTGTTTACATTTTACAATAACAATCCAAATGTATGAGACTCTTCCATTAGTGAATGATTTAGTGATAGACTAGGCATAACTAAAGACGCTCAACCTAGTAACATTATATTGTATTACTAGCTTTTGCCCGCGACTTTGTTCACGTGGAAAAGTTATTTCCTGCAGATTTTTGGAATAAAAACTATCCTATGTCCTTTCTCGAGTTCCAAACTATGTCTGTACCAAATTTCACAGAAATCGGCTCAGTAGTTTAGGCGTGAAGAAAAGACAGACAGACAGACAGAAAGACAGACAGACAGAGTTACTTTCGCATTTATAATATTAGTTAGGATTCTTGGGAGTGTAGGGAAGCTAAGTGAGGATTTCTCTTAATTTTACAAGAGTAACCTGTTAATCTATTCTAAATAATGTATAAAAATCGATGCTTATTTTCGTTCAACAATGCCTTTTCCGATTTGGCTAATTTTGGTCTTGAATTATTTGGGAAAGTCCAGGGAAGGACTAAATGTTCAAAAAAACTTAAGTTCATTTTGAGGTGGAACAAAGTTTGCCAGGTCAGCTAGTCAATAATATATTATATTAGGTAGGCTATACTATAAGGAAGAGTCATGTGTCTGTTAATGTGTACATTTAAACAATATTTAGATAAGGTATCAGTTAAACCTTACTATTTATGATGTCAGTAACTTGTAGTTATCAGTATGTTGTTAATTCTATTTTTTAATCAGTCAAAACTTTTGCTTGAGGCCTCTGCCTCGAATATCGCGGGCAGCAGGGCGGCGGCGGCGGCGGCGGAGTGGGAGCAGCATGATCTTACGCGTATAATCAAATGGACCGGCCCTCCACTCGAATACAGCGGCGCGGCAGCGGGACGGGCGCGAGCAGCAAATATACTTTAGTCGAGCGGTGACCGCCCACATCCACAATAAATCGAGCTTTAGGAATAAATTTGAATCATAAAGATGTTGCCGCCATTGTTCAGACATTTCATTCGCAAATAGAAGCAAACATGTCGACGACACAATTATGAACAAAACATTAAGCGGATAATGACACGCGATCCGCCCGCTAGTTTCGAGAACGGGTCTGCGATGCCCGGTCCGCATCCGCGCCGCCGCCGCTGCCCGCAAGATTCGAGGCAGCGGACTGACTAAATGTTCAGAAGCAAGATTGCGTTGAATATAGTATAACTTTGAAAATCATAGACATTTATGAATGACTGTAACAATACAATTAATGACTTACCAAATCATTTGCTTCTTCAAAATTAGCCTGGATTTCTCGAGTCAGCTGATCCCGGTTGTCTGAGAATCATGTTAGAAGAATATATTTAGAAGAATATAGTAATATACATATATATAATATATATTCGTTGAATAATGTTTAGTAAGATAAGCAGAAACATCAATATCACAAATGTTACAGAATAGAAATGAAAATCTATAGAAACGTATCTTCACGATACTTTTATAAGTAAGTATTTGTTTTATTTAAACACAGGTGATAAGAATAATATAACATACTAAATAAATTACTACCTTCGGATCCGGACTTAAGACGACCTATTTTAGCCGTAATGTCTGCTGTGAGTATAGAGTATTGTTGCTCGTAAGACTGAATTAATGTAGCCATTTTTATACTGAAGATAACTAGCACTATAATCAAATCAATATAATATTATTCTAATAAAATACGTAACATGAAATAACACCACAACGTATTCATGATTGTGTTCGCTAACTGTCAAGTGACACTTGATGTCAAATAATTGTCATTAATGACAATAATAAGACGACGAACATTTTTTTCGTTCTTGTTCATTGAGTACTAACTTTTTAGGAACTAATTTTTGGCGAAATAGGACGATTAGACGACTGTGAATAGTAGTTTCACGTATTGCGAGGGCAAACAAGAATCTTGTTTTATTAAAATTGTGCTTGTGTACCATTTAGCTAGTGTCTTCAAATACGCGTATGTCGACCTATATGCTGTAATTATTGTTCGTCATCCCATGTTGCAACTGATCAGAAAAGTAAAGGAACAGAGATTTTCACCTAAGACAGCCACACAATTTTGCTATACATCTGTTACCTATAGGGAATCGGTATTTACTCATTTATTTTTACCGTTATTCAACTCTTACAAGATTTTCACAAGTCGCTTTCAACTTTAACGCTCTTTTGGTATTGTCTTTTCCATTATTTATTTGGGCATCAAGTAGTCTAACGTATAATTTTATAATACGCAACACATTGTTTGCTTTAATCTAATTTATTTTCTAAACAAATAATTCTAACAAATACAACAATGGATGATGAAAAGGAACAGGTGCCTGAACAAGACAAGTGTAGATTTTTCTATTGATCTATTGAACGAACTAAACGAACAAGTTCAAGTTTCTTTTGAAGTGTTAAAAGTTTCAAACCAAACAAAATTGTTTGAATGTGTGCAGCAACAATGGTGATGATTTGTAAAGGGAGGATAAACGAATTACAATGTGGATTTCGTGATTAACTTGGTTTTAAGAGAGATAATATTTTTTTGGTATAAAATAGTATTTGTGTATAAAACAAAAGTGAAAGTCGTTATAGAATGTACCTAATAACTTAGTTTCCGGCCCTAAACTTAGAAGTAAGTTTTGTTGTTTTTAAAAGTATTAGTAAACTTCATATTTGTATGTTTTAAGTTGAGTAAATTTTTAAAGAGTTATAGCGAAGCATACATTAAATAACAGTAAGTCGTAGGTAATATAAAATGAATATTGCATCGAAAATCTCAGTTATTTGAACTTTCTTAATACAACGCGTGGTCTTAGGACTATTTGAATAACAAATTGTCCGTTTACTGATGACTATTCAGTGAGCACGTACTTATATATTTACATGAGTATGTCGCATAATCGTTGCTCCTAGTGATTTGCAAATTAAACAGTAAAAGTTATGTAAAGTTGTGGACCAGACAGATTGTTTTAAAATAAACATTGAAATATTTTCAGTATAGCACAATGCATCGCCACTGTGATGAAGATTCTGGCCGCAGTTCCTGTTCTGCGGCGTCAGTCTGTGTCAGCCCAGTTATGGACTTCCATAATGATGAAGACATGAATCACATCAAGAGACGTCACAAGACACAAGAGGCTAGCACCAACACAGATCTAAAAGTTAGTTGCCGCCCACGAAGCTGTGTAGGTCTCCTCAAGTCTCCAGATGAAAGAGACCCATTTCCAAGTTGTAGAGTGCCTAGACATCACAGGAAACCAGTCTTTAACTTATTTGACACTCCTAGGCTAGGAGGCTTAAGTCATGCACATTCTACTTTAGAAATTGCTTGTAGCACTCAAATTGAGGAACCCAGGATGCAGACCAACACAGTATCTATGACTGCTATAGCTTTAAATGATAATGTAGGTAAACAACCTCAGGGAAATTTTAGAAGAGGAAAACCTGTGCAGAGAGCTGCTTCAAGATTATACAAAGCAGAATGTGGTTTTAAAGGCAAAGAAGGTTGTGTTGGTCCTGAATTCATTGTGAGGGCTTCACAACCAGCAAGACACATGGATTTAACCATGTCTTCTGTATGTGACAAAAGAGTTATTACTGTAGTTTTGCTAAATGGTCAAAAAGTAGAGGTGTTATGTGATCCTAATGTTATAACTGCAGGACAATTGTTTGAAGCACTGGTTCACAGTGAAAAGTATGAGCATAACTTTATGCTTGGCATTGCTGTTCTGATTGGAGGGGACTTTGTATTTGTTCCTGATGATTACAAAATAAAAAAAGTTGCACCAGAAGCTTGGCACAAAACCAACAGCAAGAGGAGATTATCTGGAGATGAGAGTATGTTGACAGTGTTCTTAAGAATAAAGTTTTTCTTGCCTAAAAACATTGCCAGTACCATTCAAGGGGGAGAATGGAGGTATAGAGTATACTTACAACTCAGAAGAGCTACATTGGAGGGTCAGCTAACTTCTACGATACAGAATCTCATTTTATTAGCAGGCTATGCATTACACATAGAATTTGGAGAGTTTTCATTCAGAGAACATGGCACAGCAGACTACTTTTTGTTAGAACATTACCTGCCTGAAACTCTGATAAACAATGACATGGCAGACATCAAGTTGCGGATGAAGAGGGCACATGAATCTAGACGTGGTCTGGATAGACAGAAAGCAATTATTAATTATATTACGCTTGCACAAACTTTTCGTGATTATGGTGCTCATTTTTACTCTGCCATTTGGGCTACAAGGGATGGATTTTGTCGAGATGTTTGGCTATCAATTGGACCGAGAGGGATAACTCTTTACTCAAGAAATAATCATTCAGCTGATGATCCAGGTAATCAAACAAATAGAATTGTGTTACAAAGTTTACCTTGGCACCACATACATACATTCTACTATAATAAAAAAAGTTTGTACATCATGCCTAATTCTTACTCAGGATTATCAAAAATTGGTGTTAAATATAAATTGAAAATGCTAGATAACAAAAGCTATTTTACATTTTGGCTAGCGTCACTTCACCACAGATTATACCTGAAACTTTATGCAAAAGAAGACTTCCTCACTTATCTCTCAGATGAACTTAATTGTCCTGTTAACTCATCTGGAAGCCCAAAGAAGTTTGACTGTAGTAATTATCAAGACAGCTACAACTTAGCAGTTAGAAACCCCATAAGAGTAAGAAGACCTACTAGAAGAAGGTTCAAAGTAGACATATTTGGCGAGAAGAAGGCACAGAATAAAGAAAATGAAAAGCCTAACACAGAAGAACTTCTAAGACAAATATTATCACCAGTGCCCAGTGAAGAAGTAGCATCACACAGTCATGGCCATGAAAACTCATCAAATGATGGATTGTCATCTTCAGAAAGTTGCAGTATACCCAGGAGACAAGGTGTGAAAATGGGTACCAGAGTATTCCATGGCATGAAGGCTGTTAAGGACAGCAGATACCCTACATCTCCTATAAGAAGCAATATTTGTTCAAGATCTGAAGGTGACCTAGCTATGACACAGAGTGATTCTGATGATTTGAGTACTGAACAAAGACAACATTGTGTAATTAACAGCATGCAGTTACTACCTGAGAGACATTATAACCAGAATTTGTCAAGTGCTCCTACTGCTTATGTTTTGGAATCTCCTAAAGTCTACCCAGATGTCTTCAATTATAATGCTGTAAACAATGAGTCCTGTTTAAATACATCACTTTTTGAAAAACTAGACAATATGGAATGTGTCCAAGGTGAAAGAATATTTGTGACAGCTGCTCTAGAGAGAGATGACATGAATGCACTAGGGCTTCAAGTAGCAGAGGGATCAGATGGTAATGTATACATTAAATCAATAACACCAGGAAGCCCAGCAGATATGTGCAAGAAACTATTGCCAGGTGACCAAATAATATCAGTGAATGGTAAGACCCTGCTGAATGTCAAATATGACAAGGCATTAGTTATGCTGCAATCAGCTCCACAGAAAGTGGAACTTATTGTTTTGCAAAATGCTACCAAACCCAGCCAATTTGACTATCAACACAGTTTGAACAGTCAGTTTACAGACAGTACCAGTAGTAATGTAGGGAAAAAATGTATTAATAATAGTGTTGCTAGTGCTTTAGATGTGGAAATAACAGATGATGAATTATTGAATGAAGAAGCATTGAAAACAATTTATGCTCTTATTAAGTTGACTAAAGACAAAGTTATAAGTAGAATGAAAGACAAATCAAGTAAACATTCTACTCCTAACAGAAGCAATCTGCAAAAATGTGTATCAGAGAATAAAGTTTATGAGGAATCTGATTTAGGGAATTATTCATCTCAAGAAAATACTCCTCAGAAACGAAATGCTCAAAAGTTCAATACATGGCGTGGTCAGTTCCCACAGAACAATAGATCTAAACGGCGACCTTTAAGCTTGAGTATTCCAACAGATATAGATTTGCCTGATGATTATTTAAACGATAATTCAGAAGATCTACTTAAGAAGACGTCATTGAAATCTATTCAATCCTCTTTGAATAGCTTAGATAAATCTGTAAAGAGTGGTTCATCAAAGAATGTAGCTTTACCAAGAAACTTTGGATTTAGCCGAAGATGGTTGGGCCCAGTGAGGTACCCTGTGACACCATGTAAGAATAGCAATGTAGAGACTGAGCCAGGTGCAATTGTTAGTGCGAATGTCACGCGAAGACATTTCGTTTATGGTGCTGGAGATTCAGATGAAGATCAAATATTTTTGTAAATTATTATTATTGTATACATATTTCATAAATGAATTATTTTATGTTAAGTTTAGAGGACAAATGTAATAAACGATATTATATAACTGACTGAAAAATGTTTAAATAATATGAAGGTCGAAGTTGCCTCCACCGTTTTGGCTGTTATCTACGTGATAGATGTTATTTACTTGTAGGTATGGGTAACTAATATTTTTACGTAAAAAATCCTTATAAGCTTATGAGAGTGTACATAGTTACTTTCAAAAGAAAGTTCCAATATACGGCGAGTACCTACTGGTTTGTATTTAGGTAAGATAAAGTACCTTCTCAAATATTTTTACAATTTTTAATATCTGTATATTATAAATTGTTGCTTTTTGAACGCGATTTACCTATTGACCTACTAAGTACCTACATTTTCTTTTCACATTAATCAGTTACGTTTACATCCGTTACTAATTGATGATTTTATCACTCAGAATGGACAATGAACTTATGATCGTACATTTCTTATCAGTGATAAAAGTGTGAGCAAATTATGCCGGCGTTTTTATCGCCTCTCTAGTTATGTAATTTACACGCTGCTTACTACATGCGCCCGCGTCGAGAATGGCCTGGAATGTTCTAGTACTAATAAGTACCCTACTCTACTGAGCACGTGGTATTCCTACACAAATTCAGGTCAATAAGATCTGTTCTCAATAAAAACATCTAGGTACCTACCTACATCAAATTATAAAGTTTCTCAGCCTGAATTTTACTCAACTTGACAGCAAATGAAAATATCTAGATCTTTTTATTTATGATGAACAAAGTTCAAATGATTCAGTGAAATTTTAAATGAGCTAGGAAAGTTTTATTTGTAAGATTGATGTGCTGAGAATGTTAAAGTATGAGAAAATACATAAGGTATTATGTTCAAATAAAAAACATGTTTTAAAAACATTAATTATTTATTTAAAAATAACACTGCTTGCACTATCCAAGCAAATTAAACTAAATAATTCTAACAAGACAGAGAATTGCCTTTCTATATTTGTAAATTATCAGACTCAAACATAAAACTGGGAAACACATTCACTCCACAATTTGTATAAAATCAATCAGACTACCAGATATCATTGCAATACCCATAACAGTGAATAACTACTTGTAACAGTTCTTTACACAATAAATGCATATTTAAGTCCTTAGCAAATTACATCATTCCTCCCATGCCACCCATGCCACCCATACCTCCCATGCCTGCCATGGGGTTAGGCTCCTTCTCTTGAGGAATTTCACAGATCACTGCTTCAGCGGTGGTGAGGAGAGATGCTACTCCACTGGCATCAGTGAGTGCTGTCCTTACTACTTTTGTGGGGTCAATGATACCCTTCTCAATCATGTTCACATATTCATTGTTAAGAGCATCATATCCAAATTCAGGTCCCAAGTCCTCAACTTTAGCAACAACAACAGAACCATCAATTCCAGCATTGCGCGCGATTGTCATACATGGCATTCTGAGGGCCTTCTTTACAATCTCCACACCTGTAGCTTGGTCACTGTTGGCTGTCTTAAGTGCAGAAAGTTCCGGGATACATCTGAGCAGAGCAGAACCACCTCCAGGTACAATACCTTCTTCAACTGCAGCCCGGGTGGCATTCAAGGCATCATTGACACGATCTTTCTTCTCATTGACTTCAACTTCACTGGAGCCACCAACATGCAGTACGGCAACACCAGATGCAAGACGGGCCAGACGTTCTTGTAATTTTTCCTTTTCATATTCTGAGGTAGTTTCCTGGATTTGGTCACGGATCTGTTCAGCTCTTCTGTCAATGTCAGATTTTTTGCCTTTACCTTTGAGGAATAGGGTGTCATCCTTTGTAATAACAACTTCACCCACTTGGCCGAGGTCTGATGCCTGGAGGTTTTCTAATTTTATGAGGTTTGCATCATCTCCAAACACTACACCACCAGTGGCAATTGCCATATCACTAAGTGTAGCCTTGCGGTTGTCTCCAAAGCCTGGAGCCTTCACAGCTGCTACTTGTAGACCAATCTTTAGCCTGTTGACAACCAATGTGGACAGAGCTTCACCATCAACATCCTCAGCTACAATGACCAGTGGCTTTCTCTGCTGGTTAGCTAATTCCAGAGCAGGGATGATTGTCTGAACATTGCTGATTTTCTTTTCAGAGAATAGAACCAAAGCGTCTTGGAACTCAACTTTGGCCCCTTTGGAAGAGTTGATGAAATATGGTGAAATGTAACCTCTATCAAACTTCATACCTTCAATAACTTCAAGTTCATCTACGAGTGTTTTGCCATCCTTGACTGTGATGACACCGTCCCTGCCGACCTTCTTCATGGCATCAGCAATGAGCTGCCCAATTGCGGTGTCACCGTTGGCGGAGATGGTAGCCACCTGTGCGATCTCCTCGGGTGTTGTGACGGGCTTTGACATAACCTTCAACTTGTCTTTGACGGCGTCTACTGCTAGCATGACTCCTCTTCTTATTTCAATAGGGTTAGCACCCTTCGAGATTTTTTCGAAGCCCTCCTTAGCAATAGCTCTGGCGAGAACTGTGGCTGTTGTTGTGCCGTCTCCTGCCTCCTCATTTGTGTTGTTTGCTACATTTTGAACTAATTTAGCGCCGATGTTCTGAAACTTGTCTTTGAGTTCGACACCTTTGGCAACTGTCACACCGTCTTTTGTAATCTTTGGTGAGCCCCAAGACTGTTCTAAAATAACATTTCTACCTTTAGGGCCCATTGTAACTGCAACGGCGTCTGCGAGGATATCGACGCCCTGCAACATGAGGGCTCTTACATCAGCGCCGAACCTTACATCTTTGGCGTAAAATCTTGCAAGTTGGTGATTTTTGTGGAATGAAACAGTTTGGCGAACAACACGTGGTAGGCGCAACATTTTTGTGTTGATTGGAATAGTATTACAGTACTTCAAAAAGAAATCCCAACCTTGATTCTCGAAAATTCTCGCCGGGACCGCACAAAAACGTGATCTTCCGCCGGTTGTAGGTTATGAAAGACTAACGCGCGATGAACCTTCGTACAGAATTAGACGAACTCTATGGTTTTTAGAAAATATTAAGATTTTCAGCTGCCTGTATTGTAAGATTTTTCGTCTCTTTTCTTCAAATGTATTTACGATATATAAGTACCCGAGCAGAAAGAAAAGCAAGATTGTTCTCGTCAGATTCCGATTGGACAATTGGATTGGACCTCAACCTTTTTTCTTTTGTATGTTGCCAATGATAAAAATATATTAGTCCATGGGTTTGTGAGCTAGTTTTAATTTGTACACTACTCTTTGTATTAAATATCGTACAATAAACTACAATCAGTTGCTGTGAACTAGTTTTATCTGATTGTAAATAGTATAATATATATGAAGTACAAGATTAGGTAAGTGTGGGAGAGCCAAGCTTCGGCACCAATGAGTCGGCTCGACTGGAGTGTTGCCACGGCCTCACAGAAAACCGGCGTGAAACACCCACAGCGTTGTGTTTCGCCGTTTGAGTGAGATTACCGGAGGCCTAAACCCTCGCCCTCATCTATCCCTTCCTAATCCTTAAATATCCGCTACCCTTATCCCCAAAAGTCCAACAACGCACTCGTAAGTCCTTTGTTGTTATTGCAGGTGTTCATGGGCAGCGCTGATTGCTTACCATCAGGAAATCCGTCTGTCGTTTGCCGACTTATCCCATTATAAAAAAAACTAGACTTAGTGAAATTCTATACATTTGGGCGTGTATCAGTTATTTTTAATGTAAAACTTTATTTATATTAAGTTTGTGCAACAGAAATATTATTATGGATATATGTTTTGTCTATTGCGAAGTTGAAACCAAGGTAATATTCAACTTAGTGACATTTAATTTTGTGACTAAATGGATATTTTAATATTTTTATCATATTACAGACAAATTAATTAGGTATTTTGAGTTGTCTTTAATTTCACAACATTTTACAATGAACAAAAGCTTGCTTCTGAAAATTTTTATTTGTAATTTAGTAGTTGTAGTACCAGTGTATTTTTAATAATTCCTCCTCTCATTTCAATCATTTCATGGATACATTCAAATTTTATTGACAAAGTCAATTTTTGACATCTTCGTATTGGCGTATCTGACATTTGTAGTTGTCATTTGAGTTGGTATTGTGTGCGAGTGGGAGTCTGCGAACACGTTTCGTAAATCGGTATCAACAAAAACATGCGGTAATATCTTTTAAAAGCGAGTCAGTTAGCTGTTCATCACTCACTGGAGAACCGTGTGGAACCTTGTTTTTAATTTATCAGTGCTGTAATATTATAAACAATGGAGAGTTACATAATGGAATTATTTAAAGAGTAAGAATTTATCAACTTATTAATAGCTTCCTCTGACGAGGACTTGTTTTAATTTGGTTAATTTGTCGGAACGACTCTCCGGTAACATAGTACTTTGCAGAAACTGCGATAAAAATGAGTTGAATCTGGTTGGCTACTGATTTTATTCTGCACTATGTTACAAAAAATATTTAAGCATTGATTGCATGGTATGTTGTATAAAAAAAAAAACACGTTTACGTCGTGAGAAATATTCAATTTTATTACTTTTTGTAATTGTCTTAAACTTTTTTATTTTCTTTCCATATCATATTAACCAATAGATTATTTAATAAGTATAATCAAACTAATTTATTTAACTTTTTGCTGTCACACAGAAATTAATTAACTATATTTTTTTTTTCTAATTCACTTTTAGTTTAATTTGATTCAATGTGCTAATAACTTGAAGCATAACTTTATTTCAATGTTTTAATGTGACTCATGAGACTTGTTTCTAAATATTAACAATTAATTAATATATTATTGAATGACATCCTTTTAAAATGTTCCCCGCGTTTTTGATTACTTATGTTATGCTTTGTTTGAAGTTTCTTATCCTGTAGTTTGCCAGAATATAGATTTATAAGTCACACATATTTTCTACTTTGTCATCTTCAGGTGTCGGCAGTCAAGAAGTACAAAGGAAAATAATTATTTTTTTGAAGTGTGTGAAGTGGATGTAGTGTATAAAATTTTGTCATACAATGATACATACTATACAAGCCTACTTTTTTCATTTTTTTATTGTCATTTATACAGGGTGTAAAAAGACACTTAACGAAGCCGAAAGCCACATATTCTACCCATTATTTGGATCATTTTTTTCTTTAAGACCTTAGCTGGGACTCCAGGGGTTTTCGAGATATTGAAGGTCAAAGTTGCATTTTTAAATTTTTTTGCGCAATCGAATTCTAATTATTATTACAAAACTTTTTTCCAAACAAACATTACCTGAATTTTCGATTTTTCTAAATAAACGCATTTGATGTTACGAACAGTAATGTACGTAATAAATAAATGCAGACCCGCACAAAAAACATCATGCATCTCAGTAGAATATTTATATTACAGAATTGTTTTGTTCTACGCACACAATGACACGAAGCCTATTTGCTTTACATTGCGCGCAATAAAATTATTTTTTTTTTTGATACCTTAAAATAAAAGTCGTTTCCCAGTGATAATTTTAGCGTAAAGCTACTTAGTTAGAACTGCAGTATGCGTACTTAACGGCTTCGTTAAGTGCCTTTTTACACCCTGTATTTTAAGATCTCAGATTTTTTGATTTGACTTTAGTTTTCAGATGTTAAAAAAATTTAATAAAACAGGGCTGACTGTTTTTCCCATGGTCCAAGCTACGGGTAATTAGGGCTCCATATTTTTTATTTTTTTGTTGTTCTATCAAAGCAGTAAATAGAAAATATTAGTTTCAAAAATATTGTATTACAAACTGATTATTTTCTATTTCAAAAAGTCATTAAGTAAAATTAATGAATTTTATTAAATAAGACGGCTGTATTGTATATAAATTATGCCTATTTATTGCTTATATTAAGTACTTAGATATTATTTATAATCAGCTTGACACACAGAAGACATAATCATCTGTCTTATTACCGGAATATTATCTTAAATATTATGATGTAATAATAAGTACAAATAATAAATAACACTTGTCTTCTTAAAGATTATATAGGTACCTACTTGACAACAGTTTATATTATGACAGTATATTCACTTTACTTAATTTAAAAAACCTTGAAACTTAGATAATATAATACCTACTTACTACTACCTCATTAAGTCTGGGTATGTATTTATTTTAACACTCAGTATGTTTTTATAGCTTTTATTCATATAGATGTGTTACACATAGGTGTAAGTTTGGTTATGGGTGCAGACTCCATAATGTAGGTACTGCAGCTCTGGCTGGCAGGAGGTGGTTTTTTTAGGCAGTAAGAGTCAGATAGTTCCTCTCATCCCACTAAGATAAGTTTGATGATTTTCATTCCTGCAAAAAAGGTGTAGGAACATAAACAATTTGAAAACTATATCTAACTATGCTCATACTAAGTATTTTCGAAAACTGAAAATGTTAGATTTTATCTGCTACTCGAGAATCGAATGACAAGAATTTCTCGACAGTCGCGCTCCTGAATTTTGGATTATTTACTACTGGATTATGACTACTGTTGTCGTATTCTTCCCCATAACTGATAATATAAGAAAACATATTTTTGTTTTTTATAATTAATCATATTATTTTTTGTACTTAATGTTTTGTTATTGTAATGAATCATGGATGGCAAGAAAATGCAGGCGTATCAATGAAAAATTTCGAAATGATACCAATGATTAATTGGTTGGTATTAATAATCGAAACTTTTCGATTGTCAATGATAAAAAGAATGTTTATCTGTCAATAATTAATCAAAATCAAAAAGTTTAACATGTCGACAATAACAAACCAAATTCTCGTCACAAAAACCAGTGTTTGTTGCAGTGAGGTGACAGAATGTATAGTCGTGGGTATAGGAAACCCATTGCTGGACATATCTGTAATGGTGGACCATGATTACTTGAAGAAGTATGACTTGAAACCCAATGACGCGATCATGGCGGAAGCGAAACACTTGCCCCTGTACAAAGAAATCGTTGAAAAGTAAGTAGATACCTACATATTAAAAGTTATTCTGATAGAAATATGTAGCAGTAGTTACTAGCACTGCCTACACACTGTTTTACCTTGATATTTGAAGAAAGATTCTTAAACTCTAAGGATTCTATAGAGATTAGATAATTGACAGCCTAATTAGTGGTCACGACAGATTAAAATTATCTTAATCGCTTGTCCATTGTGTCGTCGAGGTTAAGGATAGCAAAATAATTATCAAAAAATAGCACTAACTATTTACTTCACTGATTGTTATTATATTCAATTCAAGTTTTTTTTAACTTCGTTTAATTCAGTGCGATTCAATATTGTCATTCTAGGAGCCAATAAATGTTGTATGATCTTCGATTTCTTCTTAATAATCTGAATGCAGAACTTTCATAAATATTTTTTTTCCTACAACAGGTTTTCTCCCGATTACGTAGCTGGGGGCAGTGTCCAAAACACAACTCGTGTCGCCCAGTGGATCTTGAAGAAACCCAACGTTTGCTCCTACTTTGGATGCGTCGGAAATGATGAGTTCGCCAAGATATTGAAAGATAAAGCTGAGTAAGTAACCCTATTGATAGCAACGGATATAGTATTTAAGCATGTAGATGATATTCTTATTAACTACAAAAAGATTATATTTAAAAAATGTTAGTAGGTATTTATTTATTTTCATGGCTACAAATGACATAAGACGCTGGTTTGATCTCAGTGATTAGTTGAAAGAAAGAAAGAAAGGAAGAAGGAAAAAGTTTATTGAAACAAACCATGTGCACACAGATATAGTAACAAAAAAGTTATTTAATATAAAAGAAAAAATAAAGAAAACTACATAACTGTGTGCCTCACGGCTGCGCCAACAGGCCCAGTTCAGCATAAATGCCAGACCATTTGGGCCTGACGCTGGTTTTCAGCTGGACCTTTGTGCATGACGTGCTACGGATGTAAACCAGCTTTACCATAAACATTAAAAATCTGAGGTGCTTAAAAATATGATAAGTAGGTACTTACGACTAAATTGTGGATGCGCTTTAGTTCATAAAATTTCAAGTCATATTTAAATAAAGAGTTTGAACACTTTGATCTGCTTTACAAAAAAAAACATTTCATTGCTCATTACTTACGCTAATGAAACATATATTGAAACAAGACTAGGATTGTAAAAAAGGATGAAAATTAGTATCGGTAGGTATTATTATTATTACGTGCGATAACTTGGGCTAGCGTGCCTAGTTTAACGACCTTGGTTTTATTGAAATTCACCTATTTACATTTAAGATCTTTGAAGATACCAGTGCTTAGTAAATAGAAGCCGTTATTGTACTTTATCTTGTCTAGTTCGCCTATTCACTTTGACCTGTAACCTCTATACGTGCCTCATGAAAACAAGAGTTACACGATCATAATAACAAATACTCGTAGGGTTGCCACAATCTTCTGTTTTCGTTTTTTATGTAATCTTTTAATATATCTACTGACTTGCGCAAAATAAGCAGGTATTACAGTAAGTCTATTACGATACTTAGGCGTCTGGCGTTCAGCCGGGGTTGTGGGTCAATTGAAATAGGAACAGGAGAAAGAGCGGGGTTTTTAGTTAACAAGAATCTGACACTCAGAAAAAATAATAATCAAGGAACCGACTGGCGTTGTGGCACAGGCGTATCGGGGCCCTGGCTTGGAGCAGTTTTTTGTCAGTCAGAGTTTGACACTGTCCCCCCAAGACAGGAGAAGGTACCTGATGATTTTCTTAAGGTAACTTCTGTCATGTTTATTCATCTGTTCAAAAGATCAGGCTCAGGATCAGGCAGAAGAGTCGGTCTTGTGTGATAGTGAAAGGATATTTTCTTAAAATTGTTCTGAAATAATAACAGATACTTAGTAATATAAAAAAGTTAGTCTAGTTTCTTAAATTCCCTTAGCAACGGATCTTTTCTCGATTTATAGATCTGGCGTTACTCAGAGTAGGTATCGTAGTATCAGATATTGTCAATCAAGAACGATAATATCAGTTTCAGGCCTAGTTACCTATTATAAGTTATCATCTCGCTGCGATTGTCTAAAATGGTACAAGGCTACTTGTTATTGTGAATATTGTTCGTTATAAAACCACAATCCATTTTAGATATTTGCGGTTTGTATCTTTCATTCGTGATTGCTGAGTTTTCGCCCGGCTTCCAGTGCTTAGGGATAGATCGAATAATGAAATGATTTCTGATCCTTACCTTTCTGCTAAGTCTACCTAATGTACCTACATGTTTTTCTTATTTTAAACAATCTGCAAACGAAGTCTTACTTTTTTATGAGTGGTATTTTATATTTAGGTAAAGTTTTGTCGGGATAAGGGATGTACTTATAAAATTGGCAGTCTTCGAGAAAGTAAGGGAAAAGGCATCCGAACAAAGCTACAATTAAGCAAATAGGTGTCTGCTGTAAACATATGTAGCTTTGCAGTTCCTTTCTGATTAAATGACGTCAGTATGTTAATGATTACAATACATACCATAGAGCTAAAAACATTTATTATCATTGAAATAGTTTGCTAATTACTTGGATTATTTGTCATTATCCTGTTAGAGATATTATTAAGTTTTAAGGTCTCGATAAATAGATGTCGCTTAGTCCTAAGCACGTGTTTTGACGTCATGGTTCATTATCGTGCCCATAACTATGTGAAAATTCACTGCTGAACAGGGCCCTTTCTGACAAGTGAAGTGTGTGCGCGAATTAACACCTGATCACCTTGCCTTACTTCTTTTCCGATATTAGGGAACTTTACACTATGTTCCCTAAAATAGTAAGAAATCGACACCTATAGACTATAGACACCCGCAGCATTGAAAAGTTACTAAGTCTGTAATCGGCTTTTTGGCATTTGTAATGAAATGAAAGAAAGACATTGATTAGAAATATAGTTCAATCCAATCAATAAACTTCTGTATTTTTAACAAACTTTTATGCCTTTGAGTTCCTCGTCTAACAAATAGTTTAAATAACATTGAATCAAAGACCAACCCCAGTTTTTAATGGATCGATGCTTATCCATGATTAAAACATCTTTGCTTATCTAACATATATGAACTTAGGTACCCCTAATGCAACATAATGAATCGTCACATTAGCATCTAAACAAGCAATGAAAAATGAACTTTATAGACCCGTCAACCTCCTAAATGTAAACAAACTTGCTGAACCTTAAATAATTTGACATTAGACTCGTATTTTATTGCCCATTTAAGTAAAGTGTGAGAGAGCCAAGCTCCGGTACGAATGGGTCAGTTCGACCTTAGTGATACCACAGCCTCTCAGAAAACCGGCGTGAAACAACCACAGCGTTGTGCTTCACTGTGTAAATGAGGTTACCAGAGGCCCAATCCCTCCCCCTCCCTCCATCTCCCCTAGAAGGCCTGTAACGCACTCGTAACTCCTTTGGTGTTGCGGGTGTCCATGGGCGGCGCTGATTGCTTTACACCAGGTAATCCATCTGGTCGTTTGCGTTCCGTTCGTTTTGATATTTAGGCGTGGTGATGTAAGAAATAAAGTTAGTGAGATGTCTCAGTTCCCACAGATAAAGTGTTCACCTCTGTTATCTCGCTCGGCGTTTATCATCTTATCTCTCTACACACAATACTCTGTTCATATTGAAATGTACACTGTAAATACTTCAAAAGAATAGTTATAGGTACTTGTGTTTTTTCTAGAACATTCAGTATCAAATTATCGATAACTAGCGACCCGCCCCAGCCTCGGTTGTAATGCTGATACTTAATTTCTCCACTATTTAATGAATGTTATAATACATAGATATAAACCATCCTCTTCAATCTTTCTATCTATTAAAAAAACCAAAAAATATTGCATAAAGTAAGTAATAGTCAATATAGGGACAGAGAAAGCTACTTTGTTTTATACCTAGGTACTATAGGTATAGAGATGAATTTAGATTCATTTTTCAGCAGGTGGTTTATTGACGAAACTTCGTGTTTTAATCCTATTTGGTACCTACTATGTCCTCGGTGTCCTATTACATAGTACTCAGCTGGCTTCTACTTTATATCATGTATTGGCTAGTTTCCTCAGTAAAAAAATCAACGTATAAAGCTATAAAAATACTGAAAAACAATCATACCTTCATTCTAAGTGTTACGGTATACTTGATATTCGTATTAATTCGGTCTGCTTGCGACTACGGCCTGTGCAACTAGGTTGTGAAAAAGTAAATAAGATCCGTCCATACTTAGACGTTTCGCGTTTATAATGTTAGTCAGAATCTTTTGAAAGATTGCAGCAGTCAACAATGTACCTACCGTAAGATACATATAAGATAAACCATCTACTTACTTAACTCATTAACAAGTTTATCATCATTTTCAATTATCATTCAGTGCATAAAGTCGTACACAGTATATGTACAAGTAGACAAGTACATTCAGATCACCTTCAGTTCTAATATTATGCCCGGAAAATATTTATGAATTCTCATCGCGGATTTTACAACAATAGCCGACGGGACAATTGCTATTTGTCGATAATAGGAGGGAAAAAGTAGGTAGTGAATAAATTGTTAAGTAACAAGATTCGTCTGATTAAGAATTTATTCTTAGACTTTTTTTTTAAATCCTTTCATATTATTAGCAAAGGACTGATATTTATGGTCTATCAGGTTATCCGGTTAACTAAAGGTAAACGATATTGGTTTGGTAGTACGTTTTTTTATATTAAAGAGGTAAAATACACAAAAAATATTAAAATTTTGATTATAATAACATCGATTTTAGGTACATATCTGATTGTTGACATTTTTACATATTTTTAGACAACTTTTATATAAAAAGGCATGCCAATATTATTTACATTTAGTTAATTACCCAAACTTATGTAGTAGACTGTATTATGTAGGTATATCTACCTATGTATTCATTATGTTATGAATTTATGATTCATTAGTAGGTTAGTAGATAAGATCTAATTTACCACTACGCATTGCAATTTAAGAATTTACTTGAGGTCAAGTAAGCAACATAGGATTCAGAAAACATTTCCAGATTTTTTTTAGTACTAGTGTAATAAATTGAAACCTGTTGAATCTCGTTTTTGAATCTTTGACATAGAAAATTGACGAAGAATCTGTAGGTAATAATACCAACACATTTTTTCAGGAGTGACGGTGTAAATGTGCTTTACCAAGTGACGACGGAAAAGCCGACGGGCACGTGCGCCGTATTATTGACTGATGGAGGCAACAACCGGTCGCTCTGTGCCAACCTCGCCGCCGCCCAACTCTTCACTGAAGACCATATCCATAAACCAGAGTGCCAGGCTGTCATCGAAAAGGCAAAGCTGATCTATTCTTCGGTGAGAAAACCTTAAAACTATAAGGAGTGTCTGATTTCATCCTAAGTTTTTCTCTATGTCTATTTAAATTAACAAATGGTATCTATCTAGTCCAGTAGTAGCTATAACTTTGGTCTAAACTTTTGTCTTCGACATGTTACTTTTATGATGTATTTTTTCATTATTATATATCAATCGTCAACATGATTTCTCCTATAGCACGCCACTGAACTCGATCTTTAACTCTCAGCTTCCAATCACCGCCAGTTACTCCTCAAATATTGTCACTCGAGTTCGTCAGACAAGGTTTTGTGATTTTACTAAAAAAATATGAAAAACTTTGACATTACACAGCATTTTTAGGAATGTACTTGTAATTTGAAGATATTATCTTCAGGGTTTCTTCCTGGCGGTGTCGCCGGAGGCCATGATGACGCTAGCGAAACACGCCAATGAGAAGAACCAGATGTTTGCGTTGAACGTAAGCGCGCCTTTCGTGATGGAGTTCTACAAGAAGCAGCTGGAAGACGTCCTGCCCTACGTCGACATCCTGTTCGGTAATCAGCTGGTAAGTGACTTAAACTAAATGAAATTATCATTAGTGTCAGCCGGTATCCATCCACTGCTGGATATGGTTTATCCACCGATGAAAAACCTTGATCTTCAGCTATTTATTGGAGATGGTTGCGCCTTCGTACTAACGAGTTACTTGATTCTATTCCAGGAAGCAGAGGCTTTCGCCAAATTCTTCAATCTAAAAGCAACCTCGATTCAAGAGATTGCTCTAGAAATAGCGAAGTACCCCAAAGTTAACAAGTCTAGAGCCCGGGTGGTGGTCATCACTCGAGGTTCAGAGCCCGTGATCCTCGTGAACGAATGTAAAATTGAGGAGATCCCTGTTACGCCTCTGAAACAGGAACAAATTGTAGATACTAATGGCGCCGGCGATGCGTTTACCGGCGGGTTCATAAGCCAGGTAGTGCGAGGTAGACCTTTGAAGGAGTGCGTGCAATGTGCTATTTATGCAGCGTCGCATATCATACAGAACTCTGGTTGCTCGTTCAGAGGCCCTAGCGAATTCAAGTTGGCCGAATCCTAAGAAATAGGTTTTTAATCAACGGTTCTCAAGCCACATGCATAGTATGTACCTAAGCTGTTCACGTCCATTTTATATTTACCGGCTTATTTTTAATATTTAACAGTTATTTACACTTGTTTTAAACTCCCAGTGGTTTTAATGTGCAGTTCAGTTATGGATCTCGTTAGTTAAGGCACCGGATTTTGGGTGAGAACCCTTGTTGAAAAATAACCTCCGTAAAGGTACACTTGGCATGTGACTCGAGAGCCGTAATTTTAATACTTCCAATAGATGAATACGGCAATAATGTACATTGTGTAAGTATAAATAGTGACGCACAATATCGTATTTAAATTCTTATGTTTAGAGTTGTATTGTTTATTTAATACGCTCGGACATGTGCTCGAATATCAAAGCGTATTATTTGGATTGCAACCTTGAATTTACTTTGGATATCGCTCAACAATTATTACGCTAGATTTAGTTGCCTTTTTTGCGACAGATCATGTAGGCTACCTCATTTAAGGTTGTAGTTTCAGATATGCGCCAAGTACATAAATAGGCCTTATTTATAAATAGATTAATATGTTTTTGAAGAAGTTCCCCTTAAAAGGTTTGGAACATTTACAGAAACCATATCTACAGAAACTGTGTCTAAGCTTAAAACTTTAAAACGGGTCAGTCTCTTAACTCACAGTGTAAGTAATAACTATTTAGGTACCATTTACGAAATTTTAACGTTTTTCTTAAGGTTTAAAGTTGCATGGACTAAGTAGGTTAGGTACTCAAAATTGAGTAGCAATTAAAAAACTTTTCGAATATAAAATAACCTTGTCACTGTATTCTCAAACAAGTAATGTAATAGTATTATAAATAGATCTGATATCACCCTATATCCAATACAAAATGTATAGAATAATAATTTAAAGTTACTAAATAGTGCCTTTTTTGCTTCAAAACAACTATTCTGATTTGTTCTTTTTCTGAAATATCTTTCGTGAATCTATATTGTTAGTTGTCGATAGATAGAATGATGGAACCAATCAGATTTCTACCTTGTGAGTCATCTTAGTGTGGGTAGATGTAAAAATAAACAACAGCTACTTAAATAGATTTTTAATCATATACCGTCAAGGTAAAATATCTTATAAACTAACACATAATAGATAATTAGGAACTGCCCTTACATAATATCAAGATACTAATTAAAAGAACTAAAATTATTGGCACATAAAATATTTCGTTTTAGACATTGATTCTAATGTATAAATGTCTTTACTAAAGCATTCCTATCATTCACATAATCTTCGAATTAAACAACAGAAATGTTAAGATACCAACAATTCAACCTGCAATCTGTAATTTTATATTTTCAGTAATTTTTAACTTGTCAAAAATGTGTTAATTTTGCAAACAACCTGCTGAAATTGGTTTAGGTCAATTGTTCCGGAATACCTGAGTGTACTTACATAAAGAAAAAGATTGCCAGCATGGGCAGTATAGTTTCTAATTAAAAAAAAAACACTGCTATTTATCAAAATGCAAATACAATAGTATGCACCACTGCCACCCATTTCTTTATGTAAATCACCAATATTCCATTCCTATGAACCTTTGTTTTTATTTCTAAAATCAACTAAATAAATGTTGTTATGTCAATGTTAATTTGTAATAATATAAATTTTTGGTTAGAAGAATGTACATTTATCAAAAATAAAAAAAAATACTTTGTTCAAAAGTAAAATACAACATTTAAATGTTAAGCAACAATTAAAAATATTACCTAAAAGGTTAATTTGTAGTGTGTTTGATGAATACAACAGTGTAATGCACAATATGAATGTTCCAATCAGGAACAGTATATTCTTCATTCCCCAAAAGAGGCATACATCTATAAGTCTCTATGAGAATAAACTCCATACTATTTATCTCCTTAGTCAGGCTCCGTGTCACTCGATCATGTTTCCTCTCATCAACACATGATCCATGTCTGCAGATGACACATCCAGGTCTCAGAATGGTCTTAATTTTTGGTGCCCTGTAAGTTGTACATAAAGCTGTTGTGATGTACTTATATTGTATTATTGTTGTCTAATAAAAAATGTTTTCTATCATTCTCTGTGTTTTACTGTGTTGTAGATACTATGGATTTTCCATGAAATTTATTTATATATTCGTTATTATAGTATGATGGTGATGAACATGTAAAAGATTAACAAAAAATATATGTTAATAATTTACAATAGGCAGTCACATCACATTCCACAATCTCTTCCTGATTGCCTTTGGATTGAAAGGGATCTGTCAGCACTGCTGGGACAGTTCCCGGTAAAAGCGTCAATACTTTAAGATACAACATTTGAGATGTTAAGATATTAATGCAAACCTTAAATAGGTACGTAATATTATTATAGGTACTACAAAATGTTTATATCATAACTTCCAAGTTGTGTAATCGAAAAAAAATAACGTTTTTCATACTATATAACTCTCAGGACTAACCTAATTATAACATTAATTAAACAATAGTTTTTTTTTATTGTTCCGATTGGGTTAGTATAATTATGTACCTATGATTGTCTCTCATAAATTTGGCGTAAGCTAGCTTGCTTGCTTTAAAACCTATTAAAATAAATTTTAGTAACATACATTCGCCGCCTCTTTCCCCTCTTCCACCATCTTCTAAGACTTTTTATTGTACCTATGGAACTTCGTAGGCGCTGTTCTATGTTATTATTTGACTCCATAACAAAAGTTGGTGTCAAGTTTCCAGAAACTTAACGTAGTAATAATTACATATTTTTCACACCAATCGCTAACATATAGAACTATTAATTGACAATAATAATACTAGTATGTAATAAAATACTACTTATATTATTTCTTTTGAAAACTTTTTTAAAAGTTAAGCTTTCAAACTTTTACGAAATACCCGCTGACCGCGCATATTTTTTTTTATTTTTTTGGGGTTTATGTCCTGGACACAAGTCCTTTAAGCCAACGCATAATTGTATTGTCCCCAGTAATGTTGCTAAGTGATAAAATGTCTATATTTTTTTATTTCCATAGGCAACATTTATATGCGGTCGATACACAGACCTATTAAACAGTATTAATAGGTCTGTGGGTTGATACAGTACCCCTGGCTTAAAGGACTTGTATCCAGGCCATAAACTCCAAAAAAAGATACAATCCTCAAGTCAATATTTTTTTAGGTACAATAAATTGAGTATTTTATATAAATTATCTAAAATTATAAACTAGAAGCAACACATTTGAAATGAATGGACCCTTTATTTCAGACGGTGAACGGCAAAAGCTTAGTTTTTTAATAAAATATTTTTACACAGAAAATTATAAATAAAAATAATAGATATTATGTTTTGATTTTACAGATAGCTTTGCTTTGGGTTATTCAACCGATTTAGAATAACTCTGGCAATTTCTTAATTTATTGTATAACGAAATAACATTTATGAAAAGAAAAGTTACTGATAAATTAGGTTTATTTAATTTTTGAACATTTCTTTAACTTAGTTTACCATAGACAATACATAGGATGAAATGTACCAAAATTATGATGTAATTCTAATTATAGTGGCAATACATTTGTGACCGACAGGATATCAAAAATATTTTTTTAACAAGGCAATCTAATTGATAGCCATTTTGAAGAGCCTTTTGTTGGTGTTTTGTGAATGTTTTCAACAAAATTTTCTATTATTTCTATGATATAAAAGTGTTTTCGAGACGCGAGTCTCGTTATTATAATTGAGAATTGAATCAGTACACTTTGTTATACAGTGTTGTTTGTTTGGTGAAGGCGCATTGTGTATAAAAAACCGGAAAGAAGAACTGCCGTATTTAACATTAGTAAAAAAAAATCTGGTGAAATAAAGACAGTTATTGTGACAGTGGACATAAATATTTTAATGGATATTGTAAATGTAATTCGTTAAATTATCGAAACGGCCGTTATTATTTACATCGCGTGTTTTGTTCGCTACGTAAAATTTAGATCGCCACAAGATGGCGGCCGTCGGATGCTCGCTCCGCCAAAACCCGCTCGCGGGGCCCGATGTGTCATCGGGTTGTGAGAGCTTCGGTGACATGCTGTAAACCGGCGTCTCGCACCGCGGCCGAATTTACCGGCCGCAAACGGCGGGGTTCCATTTCGTAAAATGGAATTTCGCTCGAGGCGCCAAAATGCGATGGGTGTTGACATAAGTGCAATACCGTACCGTTACTCAGGCGGCAGTACGTAAAAACTATTACAAAAATGAGCGAGCCCGACGACGTTGGAAAAGAAGTGTGGAAGCGATGGATACTGGAAGCGATCCACAAGATTCGCTCCCAGAAGCAGAGGCCCAGTGTGGAGCGTATCTGTCACGCGATTCGACAGCATCACAACTATCACGAAGATGTGGTAGCCGAGCGGCTGGAGCGCGCCGTGCGAGAGGGAGCCGTGCTCAAGGTGTACAATAAGGGTCAGAGCTCGTACAAGGATCCTGGCGGCGTCCAGAACAAACTTCTACGAATCACACCAGATGTGGACCTTTCTAGGGTCGTTGCAAAGGCAGTGCGCGAGTTAGGTGAACGTGATGGTTCTACGTTAAAGACAATTGAAAGACATTTAAACCAAGCATACCAAGTGACTGTGGAAAATGAAGTGGATGTGCGTGCAGTGTTGCGAGCCGCCGTAAAGCGCGCCGTGGCGCGAGGCCTGCTGTCTCACCAGGCGGGGGCCTACAAGGCCACGGAGAGGCCGCTCACCACATCCTCGGATAGAAGCTCTAAGCAGCGTGCTAAAAGTTGTCAAGAATCCCCAGAGAAGGTGAGTTAGTTGAATGAAACAATGTTTTGTTTACTTATCAGTGCACTACATAGTATGGCAGAAAGCTTTTACATAATGGATTTGATAACTGTGTTTGTAAACAAAACTAAAAATGCTATTTCATTCATTTGCAATTGTTTTAAAGGCAGTATCTATTTATTGTCGATTGATTGTATCTTCAGTATATTGTAATGAGTGATGTATTGTGTATCTCTACATCTTTTTTATTGTTGTCTTTGTTATTCTTTTAAAGTTATAGCAAATCCATTTTTATTTCTTAGTTAATGAATCTTGAAGTGTTCACTTTCTCTTTAGTAAACTACTCTTAAGTATCATACTTTTGTTTCAGGAAATATTTAGTATTATTCATATATTGCATTATTTTGCATTTTTATTATATTATTTGTGCAGGTTTAATAAATTCGATTACTTATACAAATAAGTAAATGTTATGGATATCTCACAAGCAGTTGACTACAATAATAAGGTTGTCGACCTGGCTATTAGTGTTCAAGGCCATGGCTCATTTGAGACAAAAAATGTTCCAGCCTCACAATGCTTTATTATTACAAATTTAAACATTTTATTGATATTATACCTTAAAGATATTTCCTTGTAGTCTTAAACCTTATTCAGGTATTCATTAAGAGTTCTTTGTTTGTCTTATGAGTGCTGTTGTGGTTTTTAATTTCCTAATTGAAATTGCCTTACTAAGTTACAGTTTGAGTGTAAGATTTTAGTCTTTAATAACTCATATCTGTTTTTTTTCTGACTATACCCAGCATTAGTCATTTTGTGATGAACTTGATAAAAATGTGGTCAGATGAATCAGTCGGGCTTATGAATATTATTGTTCACTTTGTATAGTTTTTTAGAAGGCACAATTACACAATACTGCTAATATAAATAAACCTTTTAATAAACTCTTGTAAGAAGTTCTTAAAAAAATATTTAAAAAACTTGTTTGCTAGCTCTTTGTTCTCATACCTGATCAAATGTAAGTTGATTTGGAGCCTCGTCTTTGTAGAGACAAAAAATGACTTAGGCAGATCTATTTGTTGTATTAAAAAACATGCAAGGGTTTCTATTGGACCCTACTGACCTTTAAAATAGCTTTTATTAGTTAAAATAAAGACATTAAATGCAGTGAAAGTAGATTCTGTTATTTTGCATAATTTATCTGTTTTTATTATTATTAAATTATGTCATATATTAATAATTCTGTACTATATGTTATTTTCTATGCTAGGTATTCTTTGTTTGGATGGAATAGGCACAGTCTATTCCACTGAAAACTTATTTCTAAGCTATCCCCAGTGAACTCCCTACCCCCCAACTGTCCCCCATTTGTAATAAAACAGATATGTCATAGCTCATAACAATAGCTATCAGATTGGATGGGGAAGATTCTACTGACTGTATACTCAAATATAAAAAGGATGCAGTAAAATTAGCCATCATTAATTTTCCAATAACAAAAATAAAATAAAATCTACTATTATTGGTTCTCTATTATTCTTCAATATCTTTTGATACATATCTACATACTATGGTTAATAATGATAATATTGACTTAGGTCAGCATGAATCCTCTTATGTTTATTTAATATTCCTAAAAAAATTTTAAGTTTATATTGTACAATTATGTTTTGTAAGCCTGAAACATACAATAATTATTTCAGAAATCAAACCTAAGTGGTGCAGTGCCATCGTGTACTGAATGCCTTGGTACTGAGGCTAGGAATAGGCTGGGGGCAGCAGAGGGTCTCATATGCTGCCAACAGTGCAAGTCCTATGCTCATCCTACATGCCTCAACTTACTCGAACATGCTACACTTCCTGTTATTAAGGTAAAACTTGTTAACTTATAGATAAAATGAAGATTTTGAGCTCTTTATGAATAACCATATAACATGTTTGTTTGGATCGAAGTTACAACGTAGTGTGTGTGTGTGCAGTCGGTGCGATGGTCGTGCGGGTCGTGCGCGTGGTGCGAGGTGTGCGCGGCGCGCGGCGGCTGGGCGGGGCGCTGCGGGCACTGCGCGCGCGCCGCGCACCCCGCCTGCGCCGCGCCGCCCTGGCGCTGCGCACACTGCACCCGCCCGACGCAGCCCGCGCCGCCTTCCAGCTCCAAGCGGTGAGCGCCACTTCCAGCCTGCGACTCTGTTTCTCTGGGTCTATTACTGTACCACTCACACGCCTTACTGCTTGCAGGTCCACGGCGGCGGGGACTCCGCGCGGCAGGAAGCCGCGTACGCCGGCGCGCCAGCCTGACTCCGACGACGAGCCCTCCGATGGTAACGCACCGCCGCGGCCTCCGCGCCCCCTGACCGAACAGAGAATGTCGAGAGAGAAGCAGAAATTTTTCAGATTTTCCGCTTTCAATCTGGTGAAGCGGCGCCGGCGCCGCTCGTCATCGGGCTCGTGGGAGGGGTGGGGCGGCGTCCGCGTCACGCGCGTGCAGCGCCTCGAGCTGCGCCTGGAGCGCCGCGAGCCCGCGCCGCGCGCGCCCAGCCCGCCCCTCTCCGCCCGCTCCACCCGCTCCACCCCGTCGCCCGCCTCGCTAGCCTCGCCTACCGATCCGGCATCGGGCTCAGATTCGGTCGGATCCCCCGCGTCTTCCAGTGATAGTGATGAACGACCCGCACCCGCGTACGTTTCTACTGTGTTCGAACGTTTAGCTGCTGACTCCGGCCCTGGTGGTGTTTGGGGATTTGCTGCTGAAGCGCAGAAACAAAAACAATTAGAAATGGAACCAACAAGTCGTAAGAGGCTAGAGGTTGAAACACAGAAACTGAAAATACTTGAAATAGAACCCCACGAGCAGAGACGAAACAACTTTGAACCGCGAAAGCAAAAGAGGCTTGAACTTGAAACGCCAAAATTTAAAAGGTTAGATGTGGATTCGAAACTCAGTCGATTAGAATTAGAATCGAAACTGAGGAGTGTCGAGCCCGAACCAATACCAAAAAGAGTAGAACCGATACAAAAAAGACTGGAGCCCGAGCCACCGCCAGTTGAACCAGAGAGACATCGTATAGTTCGTCGGCGCAGTAGATGCGGAGAAAGACTGTTAACTACACTTTTCGATGGATTGTCGGAATTCTACTCGGTTCGCACGGCGTCTCGGTCGCAGTCGCGGCCGCGGCAGGCACGCGTGGAGCAACCCGAGCCCGAACCCGAGGAGGACCGCACCGTGCTGAAGGAGACGAGGAGCACGTTCAGGAAGTACCAGGCGTCGCTGCGCCGCGCGCGCAGTCGTAGCCGAGGAGGCGAGGCGTCGCCAGAGCCCGAAGACCGACGCGACGTAGTGCGGGCCCGGTCGCGCAGTAGGGGCGGGGCGGGGCGGGTAGAGCTAGGCGCGGTCCGCCTGTCGGCGTCGGCGCTGGTGCGCACGGCGGCGGCGCAGAAGGCGCGCGCGGGGCCCGCGGACGCGCACAAACTGGTCCGCGGGCTGGCGGAGGCGGGCGGCGCGCGCCCGGCCACCAATCAGACGGGTAAGATCGGTTCGTGAGGTGCGGTGAAAGTGTCGTGGTGGATCTGACCGTCCCGCTCGCTCTGATTGCTGGCCGGCGCGCGTCGTAACGTTTCTCTTCCGAATTCTCTGTTCGGGACGGGTGAGTGAGCCGCGCGCTCTTCTCTTAGCTTCTCCATTCGGACGCCGAGCGCCGGTGACAAAACATTTGTTACTCGGGTTTCGGCAGTATCCACACATGCACTTTCGCTCGCGCCTCTGCAGGCGTGAAGGTCGGGGCTCCGAGCACTTGCACGGCCGCCCGCGCCGGCTGGGTGCGGGTACTCGGTGCCGCTTATATCAGTACTTGCCGCATTCCCTGTTTTATTTTTCTTTTTTTATTCAGGTCTTGGTACAACATCCCTCTTGAGGCCATTTTATAGCCTAATGTTATTTGTATCCTAATAACCAGGTATATTTGACAATAATTATGGTTTTTTATTAATTTTCATTTTATTAATACTGAACATGTCTATTCACTTTTGCTGCAACCTGTATAGTAAGTACTGATCAGAAATGATCAGTTTATGGTTTCGTTTACAGAGGGCAAGCGGCTACCGGCCGGAGTGACAGAGAGTGACGCCGAGCTCTTTAACGCGGCGCTGAACGCGGCTGCGGGGAGCACTGTGGGGCCTGCAGGCATGAGTGCGGGGCCCGCGCTGGGGCCTGCAGCGGGGCCCGTGCCCGCCGGCCCCGCGGACGGGGTGCCACCGCACGCACCGCCGCGCTGTCCATCAGCCATAGAATTCGGCCAATGGGAGATAGACACCTGGTACTCCAGCCCCTTCCCACAGGAATATGCTAGGTAAATCACCGTATAAGCATAATTATTATTGCAGTATTTTAAGTACATTGTTGTCTGTAAAGCGCATCGCAGCTCAGTCAGTGTTAAATTCTAGTCTGAATTGACTGTGTCCACTCACAACTAAGAATTATTATTTTTTCGTTTCAGGCTTCCCAAGCTGTTCTTGTGTGAATTTTGTCTAAAGTATGCGAAGAGTCGGGCAGTGTTGTTTCGCCACCTGGATAAATGTCTTTGGCGGCATCCGCCTGCTACTGAAATATACCGCTGCGGAGATATATCGGTGTTCGAAGTAGATGGGAATGCTAATAAAATCTACTGTCAAAATCTTTGTCTCCTCGCCAAACTGTTCCTCGACCACAAGACTCTGTACTATGACGTGGAGCCATTCCTATTCTATGTACTGACCAAAAATGACAGCAAAGGTTGTCACCTGGTTGGCTACTTCTCCAAAGAAAAACATTGTCAGCAGAAATATAATGTGTCGTGTATCATGACGATGCCACAGTACCAGAGGCAGGGCTACGGGAGGTTTCTCATCCATTTCAGTGAGTGGTGGAATCTTTATTACACTTATTCTCAACGAATATATTGTTTGTTTTACCGATTAACGCCAAATCGTGTTTTTAAAATATCATATTTTTGCTCCCCAGGTTATTTACTTTCAAAAGAAGAGGGACAACCTGGTACGCCAGAAAAGCCTTTGTCTGATCTCGGTCGAGTTTCATATCACGCTTATTGGAAGTCCGTAATTCTCGAATTTTTATATGACCACAAAGACAAACCCTTTACGTTCGAAGATATTGCTCAAACAACCGGGATGCATATGAACGACATTGCAGTAACGTTTCAGTTGCTTGGATTTGTTCGGCATATCCCCAATGATGAGACAACAAAGTTAGGTCTTTGTATAGATTGGACCAAAGTTGACAATCACATGAACAAAGTGAAGAGCAAACCTCGACTGGAGATAGATCCTGAGTGTCTGAGGTGGACGCCACTCCTAGCGCCTACTGTGAACCCCTTCCGATCCCCCGAAGAAGCTTCCGGCGACCAGGACACTGAAAATGACGAAGCAGAATGTAAGACTGAGAGTGAAGATACTGCCACAGAATCAGAAGCACCTGCTCCTAAAGAAGAACATGCAGTTAAGGAAGACATGGAAACATCTGAACCTCCCGTAGAAGTGACGTCATCCGGTAGAAGACGGACAAGACCTCTAAAATATAGTGAAACCACATACCAAACAACTCCCGTTCTAACTGAAGGTAATCGTAAACGGAAGCGAGAATTAAGTAGAAAGATATCAGAATCCAATTTGGATGACGATAAAATTAAAGAAGAAGAAACGCCTCGGCGGCAGAGGAGTAAGAGCGTCGCCAGGAGGTCGTCTCGAGTTACACAGAGTGAGATTGTAGAGGAGCCAGTTACACCAAGGAATAGAAGACAAAGCGTCAAAGAAACACTTTATGCATCAGATAGTCAAGAAAGTCAAGAGAGCATGGATTTGGATGCCATCACTCCTGCCGCGGTACCTGTCAGGCCCAAGGCTAAAAGAAAAATCGGATTGAAAGGACGTCAGAAGAAGCGACAGAAAGTTAACAAGACAACAGCGCGCAATGCATCACCGGCTGCTAAAAAACCGAAACTTGATGAATCTAAAGAGGAAGTTAATGACTATAAAACTGATGACTCTATGGAGCCCTCTAGTACCGTGCCCGATGAGGACACCGTCACACCTCTTAAGGACAAACAAGACGAGAAATTACAAGAGAAAAGTAAAAATTCTGAAGCAAGTTCTGAAGATTCTTCTGGCGAAGCTGATGACGAGATGGATGTGGAGGAAGGTGAGGAAAGAAAGACGGTCACTAGTAAACCAGCGTCACCTCGACACATTGAAGAAAACAGCACTGACCATCACACAAGTGATATGGAACTAGACAGCATACATATGGACTCACCAAAATCGATCGCTGAGAAAGACCAAGTTATTAACGAAACTAGTGATAAACCGGATGATACGGCTACTGACAATAGAATGGACTCATCGCCCGCCAAAGCTGAGGAGGAGACCAACACAAAGAGTGATCAAACTGACGAGAACAAATTGTCTGAACCCAAAAACTCGGATATGAAGTCTCCAGCTAAACCGGCACTGGAAGACAAAGAAACTATCATTATATCCGAATCTGACGATAACAACAGCCAGAGCTGTCCTTTACCATCACCTAAACATAATACAGTGGCACCAGTGCAACAAAACAATGAGAATAAACCTAAAGAGGTTGAGGAGAAGGACAGTCCGTCTAAAGTGATACCAGTTGTGTCCACCGAGAATGCACACATTGTGCTCGACCCGAGTGCTAGGGTCCAAGAAGACGTGATCTCCATTAAGCCTGCAGTAGATCTAATTGTACCAAAAATTCATCAAATTGAAACGATAGTGGTTGAAGGCGAGTCAGATACCGCAAACTCTCCACGCACAGGCATATCACCTGAGAAAACTGATACAACGGTGATTAATGAGTCACCCAAACCAAGAAGATCGCCAGACAGTATTAATACCGACGTAGCTTGTGATCAGAAGCAATGCGAGATGAGGAAAGAAACTGTGATTCAACATCAAAATATAGACGACGCTAAAAATACGGAGAAAAAGTCGTCACCCAGTAAAGTAGATATTATTCAAAATTTAGATAATACACATAGGGATATGTCAAGCATGAAGAAGCCAGACCCCATCAAAATAGATAGTTTTCCTGAAATTGATAATAGAAATAAATTACCAAATCCAGTAGTTAGTAGAGAAAATGATATGCCATTTCGGAACGACATAATGAGTACGAGGAAAGACGAGATCATTATCACTAGGAATGTCATTGAACAAACGACAATGCAGAACTTTCAAAACCCCGTGAGTAACTCCATGACAATCCAGCAAATCAACACCGCTCAGCACTCTTATCTGAATCATAGAGCTAACGTCAGCAAAGAGTCACAAGCTGTACAGACTGATAAAATACTTGTAAAATCCAGTGAACCAAATCGCGTGACAAACAACACTTTGGATTCTTCGCCAGTGATTAGTAAAAGTACGACAAAGTTAGAAGTACCACATCCAATATCGTCTCCAGTGATAAATCCAGTGATACCTAAAGTGCCCAATATATCTGATATCAATTTTTTACCTCGATGCCAAAGCGCTAATGCGGCTATCAGTATGGGTTTGGAGAGAGCAGATTTAGAAGCAAGTTTCGCCAACAGTGCTGCTATTCAAAACTCTTTATCTGGATCTATGAGTATAGTCCAAACGAATTCACAAGACTGTAAAAATGATCCTAATCTTAAACCTAGAGAGAAAAGTAAACTCCGTGACGTGCGGGTGAACTCTGCACACAGTAAGCTGGAGAAGACAGATAAGAAGGCTAAGAATGACACGCCTAGGAGTACACCTGAACCGAAGATGTTTTTTCCAGAACAAAACGTTAACTCTAGAAAACCAGAGACGTCAGTCCCAATAAACGTAATCAACTCAGTGCCGGTCACAAGCAAAGTTGAAACTAAAACTAATGAAGCACCAAAAAAGCAAGATTTTTTTAAGAAAGAAAAATCTAATACCAAATGTGACTCAAAAAACCAATCAGTGAAACATGACAAAAGTTGCACAGCTCAGCTCAACTTGAAAGCTGATCAGAACGACTTGAACAAAATGCTGCCGAAGTTTAAGTATGATAATGAGTTAGTGCCTAAAGCCGACTATGCTATGAACCAAATACCTAACTACCACACTACGCACGGACAGTATCAGTGGCCACCCTGGGATCCAACGAGAATACAGGGCACTTGGGAACATAACAGATTTTTAGATAATATGAAAAATATAGTTAGTGAAAAGAATTACTTGGATAAACACCAAGGTTTCAACCTTCCCCACTTGGATCAAGTTCAGAAGTCCCCTCAGAAATTACTTCCTAAATATGATCAAAAAGATTTCCATAATATAGCTTACGGTGCATTAAGCAGTAGTCTGTATGCTACCACGGGCTTACCGCATTTTAAAGAGACCAAGACGCCAACTTCCAAAGCCGAGTGTTCACAGAAAAATGAATGTAAGCCATCTAAACAGTCAAAAACAACAACTGCTTGTCAGACGCAATGCGAACCGAAAAAGTCGCAGTCTCAGAATGCTGCCGACCAGATGAAACAGATGATGCAGAGACAAGTGAGCAAACAACAAGAGGTGGTCACTAGTTGTGCTGAGTACAGACAGCAAAGTTCGCAAGTCTTGACGTCTCCCGGCTGTAAGAGCTTCAATCAAAATGGGCCTTGTGGACAGGAGAAGGAGATCGAGAAGAAGTCTCGGCAAAAGAAAGAAGAGTCTCCAAAAGAAAGTAATAAGGAGGAGTTGTGCGAGGCGGTCAGTCCTGCCCTGCAGTCAATGGGGGTGTATACGCCGGACTCGACGAGCAACTCCGTGCATTCGGTGCAGTACCCAGCGTGCGAGTTGGACGTCAGCCAGCTGGGGCTGGAGTCCCCCACCAGCATCGGTTCGGATTTGGCCTCCCCTTGCTCCATGATGCATATGCACCCCGCGCCTAGTCCGCAGTACTCCTCCATACACATCCCGTCCATCATGAGCCAGCCTAATCAGCCGCCCAAACAGCAAAAAATTAACAATAGGAATAGGTAAGGAATTATTAAATGATCGTAATGGTATGTGTCGATGTGGTATCGATAGTGATTTGAAATAAACAGCATAACTCGGTATAGGAGCAGCGGTGCCAGCAGTAGCAGCTCGAGTGCAGGCGCGGGCGCGGACGCGGGCAAGCAGGCGGGCGGCGGGGCGGGCGCGGGGCTGCGCGGCGCCGCCACGCCGCCCGCCAGCGCCGCGCCGCGACATCGCGCCACGCCGCCCTCGCACCAGCCGCACGGTCAGTACTTCACATACACGCTACCTTTTCATGGTGTTAATCTGTCGACACCGACATACTCCCCCCTTTTCCAAAAGTGACTTATTACTATACTTTTAATTTTTTTTATTAAGTTATTTGATATGTTTTATTTTATTTTGTGATATTAAATGAGTCGTTCTTGCTATGATAAATGTAGCGAGTTTTTTGGACGCAGCGGCGGGCGGCGCGGTGATGCAGAGCGGCGCGGCCGGAGTGGGCGGCGTGGGCGGAGTGGGCGTGGGCGTAGGCGGCGGGTACCAGGGCGGCTACCTGTCGTTCCAGCAGCAACAGCAGTACCACGGCGGGGGCTGGCCGCCGTCCTGCTCGCTGGCCAAGCTGCAGCAGATGGCCGACGCGCCTCAGCACCACCCACCGCATCAGGTGACACTCACTATACTCTGTTTTATGCTTGTACATATCTCTGTAATCTGTGGGGTGCCGTTTAGTTCTGGACTTATTTTTTATATCGGTCTAATAAACCATACGAATAGGGCTAAAGCTGCATAACTGCATAAAATTATTAATGGGAAACTCATCTAAAGGTATTGAAGTCTGAAAATACGTAGTGATAACACATCAAAGTGATTGTTCTGTGGAGCTCACAATAACATGATGTGTTTGTTACTGCGACATTTTCATGACACATGTTTGTGGTCTTTCAGTATTTCGAATCTAGTTGTTTCCTACAGTACGGCCAGCAGTCGAGCACCCCGCCGGCGGCCCCGGCGCCCCACTACCACGCCGCCGCCAAGTACTATCCGCCGCATAACCAGCTCGACTCGCCCAGGAATACACGGAACACCTCCAGTCAGTATTCTATTTTATCATTTTGTTTAACTTATAGCATGGTTCCACAGTTGGTGTACTCGGTAGTCATCATCTTCTAAGAACATGCAACAGCATTATAAGTAGCACCTGTCGAGATGTCATCTTAAATGAATGATCGTCTTAGCGTGATACTTATGACATTTAATTCAAATTTAAATCAGATTCAGTGTTGAGTAGTGCGATAGTAAGATAGCACTCTCGTGTTGCAGGCAACCTAAGCCCGATGCAACACATGCAGATGGCGCCGGGGTCTAGGATGTCCCCCAACCTGAACACGCACATCATCAGCGGGTACGGGCTCAACGGGTACCGCGTGCCCCCGCAGCAACAGTTCAACAACCTGCAGATGATGAACGTGCAGGGCGGCGTGCAGTACGGGGCCGCCGACCCGCGCGACCCGCGCGCGCAGCAGGGCAACGTGTACTACGGGTACATCAACCCGCCGCCGCCGCTGGCCATGCAGACGCTCAACTCCACCATGCGCCGGTAGCACGCCCGCCGCCCGGGGGCCACCCCGCAGTTAAACTATAGCATAGTACAAATAAACGTTTGCTTTCTCGCGATAAGTGCTAGTTTGTATATAAAGTTAATCGAGATGAACATGAACACCACTTCTGTTGCCTTACCCCTCCCGCCAGCGCGCGTCTCGTCGCGTCGAGGCGGTCTAGTGGCAGCTCTGTTATTGTTTTTGTATCATATGTATGTAAATCACGTTTTATTTGTCGTTGATAAAGTGCAGTACCCGGTAAGCTGAATAAAAGTACAAAATTGCAGATAAAATGTATTTAAATCTGTTAATAATAATAATGACTACGTCACTGAAATGTAGCATAATGATAGTGCAATAAATGTATGTACTCTGGTAGTAATCTGCTTCGTTTTGTATGATGACGAGTGGCGCGCTTGTGACGCGTCTGATCTATAAATTAATATATTCTCGATTTCCAAAGAAACAATGTAATGTTAAGTCTTTGGTTATGTTGAAATAAGTGCAATGTTTTTACTGATGGCAGATTGTACTACAGTTGTAAAGATTTGTTTGGAACTCGTATTTTATATGTATATGGTGTTTACGTTTTGATGTATTTGTATCGTGTCGCGACAGCGTAGGTCGCTTGTACAGTTGCCGTTGTGTAATTATAATTTTACCATAGGAGCCTAGTTTGTCTGAATCTGTTCTAAGTGCCTCTCACGTCCCGTCTGTCTGCTTGACTTCAGTGTAACATATTGTAATGTAACAAGGCTGTATACATATAGAGCTGATAACGTTAGTGTACTTGTAAGATACGGTTTTACTTTGATCAATGTGATAGTGCGCTGACTAGACACGTGGAGGAGCGCGGGGCCCGCCCCGTGGACGCGGAGTGTGGTTACTTACGTAAGCAGGCCTAATGGAATGAAGGATTTTTATATTTTATATTCTTTTTTTACACAGGTAGTTTTAACGTTTTATAATTGCGATGATAACTTTGTTTTACCGCTTCGCTTAAGGATTATGTTCGTGTTATCCCAGTAATTTATTGCCAAATGTTATTAACACTTACGGTTACTGTAGTTACAATTTTAAGTATTTTTAGTTATCGTGTTTAGTTTCGTCCTCTTGCACGAGTAGGTAAGGATCGTCCGCGCGGCGCGGCGGCGTATGTCGCCCGCCCGTTCTAAGTTATTTGTAAGATCTGCTCCTCTAAGGTTATGAATGTTATTTGTTACTAATGTGTAGTATATAAAATATTGTAAATACAATAACAATAAGGAACATGTAGCAGGTGTTATCACACAAAATATAATTTTGTGAAAACTTTGTGGTTTTATTTCATTTCCAGTAGTCAACTGTTGTCAATGTCGCCAAATAACTTACAGTCAACCAGTCTTAAATATAGGGGAATTTATGTTCACATGTAACTTGACATTATTTTTGAATTAAAGTAAAAAGATAAATACTTTTTAGATCTAGTTTATTTGCGATTATATTTATTTCAATATTACGCAACAAAAATATATTTTACGAACAGGTATACAGTACAACATTTATATCTAGTTAGGTACAATCACGTACTTACATCTATTAATAACAATTATGAAAGTTGTATGGCCACAGGAAACATGCGTCAATAATTTAAAGATATAATATGTACACTGGAAGATCTAAAAACCTACTCGTTATTTTAAATTAACCAATTTTTAGCTATTATAAAGATAATAAGTATTTCTTACAAATTTAATTAGGTACAACATAAAACATTTGGTCCAAAAATTAAGCATAAATAAATTAAAAACTATTAAAATTAAATTATACAGAAATGAATTGATTCTAAGAATTAAAACAACTACCCTATGTAGTAATATGTGTTTTTTTATTTAATCACAATAAATGGGTGCATTTTTGATCCCTTGTGAAAATTTTGTTACATTTTTAATGTTTCACTGAGAGCACTGTAACGGCAAGAGCAATTTTGCCAAAAAATCCTAATACTTTAATTAATATGAACATAATCTTAGATAAAACTGCAACAGAATCGATTTGCATTGTCTAATACTAATTAGCTTATTATTTAAACAATAATAATAAGCACTAAGACACAGTTACTATTTATAGTGAACACGAATATACTAGATACATACAAATGAAACCCTTAGATATTATTATTATTTATGTTATGGAACAAATCACTCATTGATCGTTTTGCTAAGCATTTGACGCCACGGAAATATATAAATAAAGGTATCATAAATCTACGAATTCATTAATAACAAATTAATTAAACGAATAATTTTGTTTCATTTTTCAAACAACTGCTAGTGACGAAAGAAAATTGTATCGTAAAATATGAAACCAAGATTGAAGTTAAATGAAAATAATGAAATGGAATCTCCATTTATTATTTTGAAACATTTTGACCGAAACTATTTATAAAGGAAAGGAAGTACTTATAGGAAGAAACTTACTGCACAGCGTTTTTTGATATTTTTTTATTTTATAGATTTATATTTTACAGACTGCACGTTTGGCGTGGTGGCTGGACAACTGGCTGCCACGCAGCGTATGAAATTGTAGGTTTGTAAACGCACACAGGAGAAAATCGTAGTGCCAGGCAAATTTTATTATAAAAAAACATAGTTGGCAGTCAAATTGACGTATACCAGATAGACTATTCTTAGTACATATTTCTTTCAACTTTGATTTCACTTTATAACTTGCAAATGCAGATCAGGCCACACAACATAAGCTTACTAATTCATTAATAAGATCAAATCAACTTAAAAAGAATTATCGAACATGTCTTGTTACCGACCGACAATCGACCTAACATTGAAAAATATAATATTGCACAAATACTACACAAGTCAAAAATAATCACAGACATAATATTTTGTCTATCTACTAACGAGAAGAGTAACAACCACAAATATTCTACATAACATGGCTGAACAACCAGCCTATCGATATTATTCTCAATAAATTGAGTTCCAATTTTGGATGGACAACTTTCCAGCCATTAATTTACTTACACACACTAATACTATACCTAATATGAAATAAATAAGGTCAAAATATCAATTAAATACTGGTTTAATGAATTCATGTCAGTATTAATTAGCTCAAGAGCCCTAAACATTGGCACATTGAAAATTAAACCTAAAATATAGATTAGAAATATAAATTAGAATTATTTACAATTGAAATATTTACAATATTAACAGAACATTTAAAATTTAAGAGAGCCACCTCACGCTTTCTTACTTAAACTTCATTTTAAACGACTTTTGTATTACGAACTTATAAATCAAATTATTTTTTTAGAGAGGCGAACTAATATTCTCCTTCCTACTACCTATAATACTAACCACAATTTATTTATTAAAATTATCACATTGCCATGAAATATTGTGCAAAGTTAATAATACTCAGACATTCATTTTCTCTTTTAAACATACCTACTTAAAAAATAATATCGTAACACAGCTTTAAGTTTCAGACATATAAATATTAGATTAAATTAAATTAAAACTACACCAGACCAAAATAATTTAAAGACTTTACCTATACTAAAAAGTTAATGATCGTGTCATTTTAACCGCCTTACAACAGCAGCCAATGACTAGGAAACTTCCACAACAAAAAAAGCCACCACCTACTCATCTACGAAATAGCTTCCAAATTTAAAAATCTTATAGTTGAGACTGCTCATTGTAAAATGGCTAACAAGTTACGATGTACATAATAAAACCTATATACCGTCTCTTTGTTGCAATTAGGTAGAAGCCGATGCAGGACGAACTTTATCACTGAGATGTACGTGAGAATAAATTTAACGGGAAGACAAATTTAATTTAGTTTCCAAATTCCTACTCTTAAAAAAACGTATCTACAAAGCATGTCCTTCGACACAATTAAAAAAAAATGCTAGTTTGAATTTGACCGCGAACGATAATGAAACAGAATCCTATAATAACAGCGCACAAAGAGGGCAAAACGAATTCGCCGTTCCGCTCCACCATTTACTTTGCGCCTTACAGAACTTGAAAAATTATGACACACATTTTTGTAACAACCTTTGGATCAGACCTGTACATAGATGGGCACAGGGACAGGTTCCACAGGTTTGCGGTCCAGATGCACCCTGTTCCTCATCAGTTTCAGGCTGTTCTCCGTCACCTTCATACATCCTCGGACTAGTAGACCCTCCAGATTTTTACTATGATTGGCCAAGGCCCTGCAATTAAGAAAGCGTGGTTTTAACTGAAGTCAAAACATTGAAATATCTACATATTAATATTACAAAAATTAAGAGTTTGTTTGTAAGTTCATGGCGCCTTTTTTGTCATGGGAAAATCATCAAATGACCTCTCCTACCCAGGGTAAGGCGAGAGAGAGTGTCAGACTCTTACTGACTAAAAACCACCCCGTCCCTTCTCGTGCTCTGGGCCAACGCCGCAGTGACTTATTGCGCTTAATCCGCAACCCCGGCTGAACATCAGCCCTATAGCGTGGAACAGTCGAGCGGCGAGCAACTCTTACTCGCCGTCCGCAGATCCGCGCTAACGGTGGCCGGAGATCGTCTCTCGTCATGGCGCTAACCTCCTGAACTACATTACAAAATATCACTACGAGCCGAGCAGTGGGTGAAACAGCTTAGGACTGCCTAGTACCTAATAATATGTTTGTCGGTATGTCTGCGTGTCAGACCTAGTGGAGCTAAGTAAACTTGCACTGCAAATAAGCAGTGCAATCCTGCAGATTGTCACTTCTGCAGTCTGCTTGCCTACATTATTAAGTGCGCGTCTCAAAGAGCTTATAGACCACCACAAATGGGACCCTACAGGGCCGATGTTCAGCCGGGGTTGCGGGGCTAGCGCATCAGGGTACCACGATCTCGGCTGGAGAAGGAACGCGGGGTTTTTAATAAGTAAAAGTTGCCAATCCCACTCCACTCACCCTGGACGAGAGAGGTCATTTTGTGATTGCCCCTTCACAAAAAAAGGGTTACGTTATTAATTGAATTGAAATGTATTTATTTATTTATTTAATAAAGGTACACCAACAGCTTCTGTATATAGCAAATTAAATAAAACAATGAAATATTAGGTTTTGGCCTTATACAATCGCCAATTACAGGTAACCAGCATTCTTAAAAATAAAGTGATAACCTAGTAGAGTAAGAACGAAACTATCTATTACAATAACATAATTAGAATTATGTAAAAAATATTATAACAACATTAGAATTGCAATATAATTAAACAATGAAATGGAACATGAAATTAGAAAATAAGTAGGTAGGTATACATAAATGCAAGGAATGAGATCAGTAGGAAATACTTAATTCTACTTAAACTTACATTACATACTAACAGAAACATAACTGATTAAGTGGTGAGGTTCGGGATTCAATATATTATTTGGGTTTTAAAGACTTTTACAGAATCGTGATATATGTCAACATTTGGAATGGATTTTATAAAATAATTCATCTCTCGGGTAAGCCTATTGAGAGGCGAGAGATGAATTATTTTATAAAATCTTATTGAGAGAGCCTATTGAAATATATGTATTATATTAATGCTTTACAGGATTGCTTTTTTGGTACGTGAAAATCGTCCAATGATGTCTCCCGCCCAGTGTGGATTGAGTGGTTGTGTGTCAGATTCTTACTGATTACAAAACACCGGTTCCTTTTCCTACTTTGGCCGGACCTCAAAACAATGGCTGAACGGGCCGCGGTCCATTATTGGTTTTGTATCCCTGGCTAATCATTGGCCCTAATGGGCTCCTCTTGTAGTGATCTGAGGCCTCTTTGAGGCGATCAAGTGATACAGGTGGTTTTAATTTTAATTATGGTTGTGCATGTTTTATACCACATTCCTCCTAGGTTCCTACCTTTCTATGTATTCTTTTATTACAACAATGTTTGTTGGGGAAAATAGCTGAAGAGGATTATAAATAACTTCTTACTAGCTTTATCTAATTCTAGGCTACAACAGGTAAGTAATTAATCTGATAAAGAATACTTGTTTCATAATTCATACCACCTGAACTGATTCTAGAGTGAATAAAAAAATAACTAGTATTTTAGCATATTGCTCTTTCTTCTTTCTTCTGTTTTTAAAAAAAAAATAGTTGTCGCGCATTAGGATTTTCTCCTGTATCGTAGGTGGGTTTACAAACATTCAATTTCACATAAGTACACATCAAACCAGGACCCGAAACAAAAATTAGTGGATCACAAAAAGTGTTGTTCCGTGCGGGAATCGTACCCGCGACATGTTGCACGGCAGCCAGTTGCCCAGCCACCGCACCAACCGTGCAGGCAAATTGTTAACTTGACGAGTTGTATATACTAGTGGTTCAGCACTACAGGATTGTAGGAGAAAATGTATAAGAACGCTTGGATTGTTAACCTCTAAGTTTTGGAAGTCTTTAATACAAATAGCTTATGATAACACAAATTTCCTATAAAACTACCATAGAATATTCTAGAAGCTGATATTTGTGCAAACAATATTATTATTATCAGCTTGTTATCTTTAGCATGATATTCAAGGTCACAATTAGAATTGATTTATTTGCATAAGTTTTCATTTTTTATATGAAAGGAAAACATTGCGAGGGAACTAGGGCTCATAATAAATAATCATAATTATTTTCCCTTTGAGCATATCTGGTGAATAATGCTCATACCATAACCATGTCAGAAAAGGCTTTTACGCAGCAGTGGGCACAAAGTTTGTTTATTAAAGTTATAATAACATAAAAGTGTAATATGTTTTAGATTCTAAAGTTGTTTGGTGAGTCTTAGTTATAACATTAAGTGCGGCATTTGGAAAGCATTCAAGAAATTATATACAACATTTTGACACTTACCTTACACCTTTATCTGAGATTTCTGTGCATCCGCTGAGGTTCAGAAGCTTCAATGAGGTGCTGTACTTGGACAGTGCATATAAGCATTTATCTGAAACTTGCTTATTTCCTTCTAAGTTGAAGGTTTTCAGATGTCGGAACTTCTTCACAAATATTAATATACAGCTCTCTGAGATTGTGACACAGTATGATAAATCTACATCTTCCAACATGCACTGGTGTAATGCTAATGCTTCAACAGCTCCTGTAGTCAACCACGCACAGCGTGCAAGTTTGAGTGTTTGCAAGTTATTACAATATAGGATGACCGGCTGCAAGCATTTGGCAGACAAATTTTTACACTGGCTCAGGTTTAAAGTAACTAGCTTCTGGTTTCTCATTAACATTGGAATTAAATCATTGTCTGTTATAGACATACATCGACTTAGGTTCAACACAGTCAGTCTACTGCATGTTAGTGCGAGCACCTGAAACCAACATTTGTTTTTAATTATTTTCTAGGCAATGTTTTATGTTATTATAATTTTGTATTGGATTTTTATTCTTAAAAGTAAGTTATGCCCTTGAATTGAGCACAGTATTGTGGTACATAATTATAAGATTCCTTCATTACGCACAAAAAACTGTCTGAATATTCGCCTACTATTTACATGTTACACAAATAATTTGCTGATATAACATTCTAATCCTACTAGATTTTTTTAAATACTAGGAATGGATCACTTACACTAAACGTGTGAGGAGAAAATCCCTTGTTCATCAATTTTAATGATTTTAGCTTCGCAAAATACATATTTATAATTTGGAGGCAGGTTTTCGATACACAGCGAAAATTGAAACATTCTCTGAGAGTTAGATTTGGTATAACTTTGGATACTAATATATCTTCCCAATACAAATCAAATAGTTGTGTATTTCTCTTCATGTTTATTTTGATTTATTCTAATTTTTCTTGAAAAACATTTTGGATCAAATCCAGTCAAATCGTCCTTCTATTGTATTGACAGCAACGAAAATAATTAAAAATGTTTGCGATTTTTAGCATTTTATTAGCTTGTCCTTTTTTGCCTTTTGTGGTCAACAGAGACAAGAAGACAAAGTTATCAACAAAAGCAAATGCTCACATTGGACACATTGTATGAAAATAAGTTGATCTGGAACGCGACGCAGACACACAGAAATGACATTTTAGATACGTTTAGATTTTGCTAGTTGGTCATTTTCAGAAAGAAAATATAAAACGTTCATTTTATGCATTTGCAGAATATTAAATGAAACAGGGCTAACGGTAACTGGGTCTCAACAATTCATATGGTTGGTTTGATATAAATAAACAAATATAATATACAAGAGTCTCTATACATAGGCTGTAGGTATAAATTGTTAGCCTACCTACTAATTGTTTACCTTTACGTTTATTGTGCAAAACCATTCTTCGAATGGGTGTGAGTGCCTGAGACCTTACCGTTTTTCTTTCGTCTTGTCCAGTAACTGTTTTCATACAACAAAATAAGTTTGTTTCCCAGTACTTAAAAATACTTTTATTGTAATGTAAAAAACTATACTTTTTTTATGAAATCGCAAATTATGACATCATAATATTTTTTTCGTAAGAGTATGCTTTGTAATTATTTGTGTGCTTGTTTAGAACCTAGTGTTACTGGTAGAGAATGCCTTCGGGCATTAAGTCCGCCTTTGTATATTTTATTATGAACATAAAAAAAATATATACAAAGTCGCAGCTTTGAGTTTATTTAAATAAATAAACTCAAAGCTACGAGCACGATTGAGTCGGCTCGTACAGAGAAAAACAATGACAGAAAACCGGCGTGAAACAACCACAGGTTTGTGCTTCACCGTGTGAATGAGGCCCAATCCTTCCCCACATCCAATTCCAATAAGCGCAATGAGGCACCGCGACCTCGGCCCAGAGCAGGAGAAGGAACAGGGGGGTTTTTAATCAGTAAGAGTCTGACACTCCCTCCCACCCGGCCCTGGGCGAGAAAAGTCATTTGATGTTTTTACCCTGACAAAAAAAAAACACTTCCAATTCCAAAATCTCTTAATCTCGAATCCCCAAAAGGTCGGCAACGACTCGTGTTTTCATGGGCGGCGCTGATTGCTTACCATCAGGTAAAAAATATGAATGAAAGTGTGATTATCTAAATGTTTACCAACGAATTGTAATTTAAACCCAAAATAATTCTGAAACTAGGAAACTATAAAATTGATTAACGTTAAAATTATAAATAATTTTATGCAACACTTGTGAACGCGACGGTACGCGAATTCAACACATCACTCCATATAATGTATATGACAGATGGGTTGGCTTCAAATAATAGGCTTACATACTACGTTGTATTCAAATACAGTGAACAAGACGCTGAAAGTGCACTAATTACCCGTCATTAGCCGAGGAACTAGTTATTTCCGTAATAGGAGGAGCAATACTATATATTGTTTGAAATGTTATCAGGACATGTAGGTATGTGCCTAGGTAGGTGTTAGAGAAACTTAGTACTCCTAGTAGGATGTTGTATAAATTCAATGATTGAAAATTAGTGTTTGTGAATATTTATTATTATTTTAACGGTATTAGGTTAACCTCTAAGCCCTCGCTCATACTGCCTGTACCCATCATAAGAGCAGTTTAGCGCTGTCTGATCAATCTGAACATCTATCTGTCGTGGGAAAATCATCAAATGTGTTCTCCCGCCCATGGTGAGGCGGGAGGAAGTGTCAGACTCTTTCTGACTAAAACTCCCACCGTTCCATCTCCTGCTCTAGGTCAAGGCCGCAGTGCCTTATTGCGCTTACCCCGCAACCCTGGCTAAACATCAGCCCTATAGGGCGGGGTCTGTGGTGCTATATCGGCTCTTTGAAGTGCGCGCGGAACGTTACGCGCTGTACGTTTAGGTCTGGTTTTTTCGCTTTTGCTTATGGTGGCCGGAGATCATCTCTCGATCCCTGACATCTTTCTAAGGCTTAACATATCTATTTTGATTTGGATATTTAGGTACCTAGTTTTACAATAACCTTTTCAGTCACCTTAAGCCCAACCTGTCGGAGTTGTTTTTCAGTCCGCAACAGTCTGTCCGACACGAGATTACATGAGTAATTTGATGATTTTCGATTGCTAAAAAAAATTAAACTTAGGTACTAAGCTTTTAAGGGATCAATGATTAAAGAAATAATGCTCCTCGTTATATGTTCAATATCTTGTGCTTTGCCATTAGTTATAAACCAAAAAGATTTGTACATTTATAAATAAAACACAACAAGACTTAATAACCAGGTTTCGCGGTAGTATAGTGTATGTAGTTACTTCCTTATCTAATTAAATTTCTTTTAAGTTACCTTCATTTTACGACAGTTGCAGTTAATAAAGCCCTTACTGTCAAGGTTCCCCAAAGGTCTTCGTCTCGAGCATGTCGTGACAACGAAATCGTGACACGAAGAAAAAATGCCCCTTATATATATTTATCAATTATAAATCTTAAGCATTTTGTTGATGATTGTACGAATTATTGTTTTATGAACGTTGTTGGTTAAGATCCTCATAAATATATGTTTGAATAAGTAGGTAGTCTCTCACGTGATTTTGTATGGGCTTTAATTAAAATAAGGTAACTGTTTTAAATGGTTTTAAGTGTGGCAGAACCAAGCTTTGGCATGAATGGCCGGGTTCGACCTGAGTAATACTACGGCCTCACAGAAAACCGGCGTGAAACCACCCCAGCGTTCTGTATCGCTCTGCCGTGTGAGGTTACAGGACGTCCAAATTTTCTCATTCCCCAACCCCTGAAATCACAAAACCCCTTATCCCTAAAAGCTGGCAACGCACTAGCAACTCTAAAACTAGTATTGCAATCGGCGGTGCAGATTGCTTACCATCAGGTTATCCGTCAGCTTGTTTGCCGGTATCCAGGTCCCAATTAGTCAAAGATTTTTTTATCAAAATATGAAGTGTGACCGTTTTTAAGAATATTGCACCACATGAATTAGCATGCCTGTGTATTTATTTCAAAAATTATAAAATTGATTATATTATAATCACATCATCAGCTTATGTATATGCGCCCAATGCTGAGCAAATGCCTCTTCTCACTCTAGAAGATTTAAGCAGCAATCATACTTGCTTAAGGCGTATTGCCGATTTCATCATCATCATCATCAGCCTCATGTCGTCCACTGCTGGACAAAGGCCTTTCCAATTGCACGCCACTGAGCTCGATGTAAAGCTCTTCTCATCGAAATACACCCTGCGGAAGTCGTCAGTCCACCTAGCTGGAGGGCGCCCTACACTATGTTTACGATTTCAAAATTATTTTTAGAAAAAAAAAAATATATTTCTAAACCAGTACTCCCAAAGGGGTGGGTGGGTGTCTTCTAGGCCCGAGTGAATAGGTTGCTTATGGGTAGGCATTAGGCATGCTCCATCGTAGATCGCATCATCACCATCACCACCAGGCGTGATAGCTGGGTAAAAAAAACAAAAACATTTTTTTACTTTCTGCGGATAAGTAGTAACCAATCTATCTAGATTGTAGTATTGAATAGCACTATGACAAATTTTATCAATGTTAGTAGAGTGGTTTATGTGATGCGTATTAAACACACAGGCAGACGGCAGATGAATATCTACTTGTAACTTTATTATATGTTTGATATGCATATCTACATAATATACATATGTATACTATATATAACCATCATTTGTAGTGTCCAACCTTTTGTTTGGTCTCATCACTGTGATTGCGCGCACGACCGCAAAGTAAGTAGATAATATTAATAGTTGAAAAACGTAAATAAATTAAAAAACTTTTTTTAATTGTATCTATTAATTATCGTGAGACATACCAAATTAACTAAAAAATCGCGGGTTACTCACGTGTATATACTGAGAAAAGCTCTACTAGTTTCGAAACAGAGGAAGAACCCCTCTGTGTTTTTTTTATGTGATATAAACTTTTTTATGTGATATGAAGGCTAACAATTGCCTGTTACAAGGAGATGGTTTACCTGGGCCTCAAGTTTGCTATTAAAATAGTGTCAGAAAAGTAGATCATTGGTTTCAAAATTGTTGATTGACAAGTTTGGTAATCTACTAACACGATAGCGTCATTATGACTTTCCAATGATCAACCAATGCCACTTCATTGAAATAATTCTTTAGAACAGTAATCTCGTACATAATGACAAATGAATATTTGACACATTGCGATAAATTAATAAAAAAATGTCAGTTCCTTTATTCAATGATTTACGTTTAGAATATTAATGTGCAGTTATTGTTTATAATTCGTTACAAGACATCTCGTACTATAATTCTATTACGACATCGCCATAGGCCAATGATCAGCCATTTTGAATTAACAGATTACGAACTTTTAGCAAAATGACAATGGAATCGTGTAGGAATGACAACACTTTTGAAAATAGTAGACTTGGGCCCCTGATGGTATGCAATCGGCGCCGCTCATGGACACCCGCAATACCAGACGATTTAAAAGTGCGTTATACAAAGGTGCGAGTGTGCCTCTTGGAGATAAGTGTTTTGGAGATTTAAGGATTAGGGAAGATTAAGAAGGATTCGGCTTAATTTGACACTTAAAACTTAACACGACGTTATAAGAAAAATACAGAAAACAAGAGAAAAATCACTTATAGTTTTAAAAAACTGTTAATATTTATAATTATTACGATTTGACATTTAATATCAATTCTTATTTTAGTAAAAATACACTCACAAGATAATTGGCAGAATTATAAATAAGTATAATCCAAATGCCCGCTGCGGTTAATTAATATAAACGAAGTAAATCGTTTTTAAGAATTTATTATGTCGTAAATAATAATATAATATTGTAGGACGATAAATATTTTGTTGTTTTTTAAACTCTGTCTATGCTATCAGAGATTAAATTAGGTTATATTGTAATTTACGAAATGGGTTTTGTAGTAAAAATAAGTGACCGTTTTTTTTTAAGTTCTAGTTTATAACGTCATCCTACTATTTTATTATTTATTGTTCTTCATTAAGGATACTTTGAAGTGAATAGGTTGCATATTGCTTTCTTAGTGTGGGGAGACATTGACGGTACCTATATTAAAACAGATGATAACACTAACATTATTTAGATCAATTTTCACTTATTTTTTTTTATTATCTACCTGCCTTAGAAATTAGGCTTGTTTTTTTTATTTAAATATGGAACATAGTTTTTTCTTTGAATTTTTTCTGCGTCACTATCGACAGATACTTTTATTCTTTTTCTTTCAAACGTTCTTTTTTTAAATAGTTTAATTAAGATTTTTGATATACTTAACACAGATGCTTCTGTCGCTGTATGTAGTGTGTTCATTGTTGCTGTGCATATGTGTGCTGCTATGGAGTTTGGAGCGACTCGAGCGCAACAAGTACAGGGGGGTACCGACCCTCCCACTGCTACCGTTCATTGGGAATATACATCAAGTTCTCGGAGATACACAAAGTAAGTAAAGTGATTTAAAACCAGACTCCATCATCATCATCAGCCTATAAGTGCCCATAGCTGACCAAAGGCCTCTTCTCACACGGAGAAAGTATAAGCATGAATTGCAATTTATAATAAAGAGTTCATGTTTCTTCCGGATGTGTTTGTCTTCATCCTGTGAGGTGGGATAGGGCGGCAGACAGAATTCCTGATGGTAAGCAATAAGCATGCCTTTGGATACCTGCAGCACCAGGTGCTTTGCCAGTTTCGGTAAGGGATTAGGTCCGGAATAATTTCTTTAACCTTCGGGGCACTACGATTGTAGACACAAAAATTAAGACGAACATACATCCATACATTCTCAAAAACTTTACATTTATTGTATTAGTAGGATTTGCGGCTTCTTTACTAGCCATTATTCGGAATTCCTTGTCCATTTAATTACACCAGAAAATTATATTACAATTATTAATTGTTGACTGGCTTCCTGCCAGCGAATTCGTTCGCATAATAAATTATGCAACTTAATGCCGTCTTGAATCGTTCTAGCATTTAAACGAACTGCATCAAAATTTGCCGCGTAGTTTTATGTATAAATCTAAGCGTACATAGGGACAGACAGCGGGAAGCGACGTTGTTTTACGCGTATACCATGTAGTGATATCTGGAGCAGGCTAAGGATGCACTTGAGAGATGATAATAGCATTTATTTTTCTCTACAGATTTGTTTCATTTAATGGAAAATATGGCCGCCATTTGTGAACAGAAGCAGTCACTTTGTGTCTTTTGGCTAGGACCATGTCCCATATTAGGTAAGTCAATTGATTCACAGATTTTTTCTTGAATCGTAGATAAAGATAAAGATAAAGATAAAGATAAAGATAAATTTATTTGTATAAACATGTGTGGGTAACATTATACATATAGATGCAAATGCAGATGGTAAGGTGAAAGCTCTAATGTTTCAACATGTTTTGCCACAGTTGGCGTACAAAATAATAATAGAATTAGGTAATAAATAAACACTATTAAAGAGACAACTAAAGTTAAAAATATGAAACAATCAACTATTATCATTTAAAAAATCCTTGATACGATAATAACAATGTTTAATAAGGAAATTTTTCAGTTCTCTTTTGAATAAATTATTGTTATTAATATTTTTTAAATTATGTGGAATTTTATTGTATATTATAGGTGCCATACAAAACACACAGTAGATGTTTTTAATTGTTATATTTTGGGGCTCGAGCGAAATGCCTCAAATAAAGTTTAGCGAATGGTTATAGTTTCTTATTTGACCTTCAAATGAAATTTGAAACGTCACCGCTGACTAGGGTTCTCATTTTATTATGTACCTACTAGCTACTCTCGCACGGCTATCTATCAGTGAAAGAATTTTGGTAATCCGACCAGCGGTTCCAAACATAGAAACATACAAACATACAAACATACAATCATACAAACTTGAAAAAATTACCTCTTTATAATATTAGACTAGTTAATCTCGCGCGGTTTCACCCGCTGCACGGTTCCATTTGATCGTAGCGTGATGTTTTATAGCTTAGCACTTCGGAACATTGTAGCTACCCAGCAGTGAAAGAATATTTTAAAACCACACCAGCGGTTCCAAATATTACCCACTACATACAAACTTACTTTTACCTTTTTATTATATTAGTGTAGAAGAGTCTCTCTCTCTTTTTATTTTTAATTTCTTCTTCTCTTACCATCACAGTGGCGCAACATCCAGATGAAGTCAAGTTGATCACAAACTCTTTCGTGGAGAAGCCATACTTCTATGATTTCGGCAGGTCTTGGCTCGGAGATGGACTTGTCACTGCACCAGGTAAATTCTTTCATACGGGTACAATTATGTGTATTAAAATATGATCTATGAATTAAAGCGTTTTCACGTTTTCGAAGTGAAAAGATTTTACAGTTATTTCTTTATTTTATAACTTAATGTACAAAAATATTTTACAAAAGATGGGCCTGATGCCATGGGCAATTTCTTACACAAAATTTTTAATTTTTTTTAATTTCTGGTTACCCTTTAAAACACAGTTTGTTCAGTACTTTGTTCAATTCCAGAATGATATAAACAAAATTATAATCATGTACATCACATCACAGACCTATAAGTGACCACTACTGAGCAAAGGCCTCTTCTTACACGATAGAAACATGAACGTACGAAACCTGGCAAATACCAATGTGACTTTTTCCGAGTTATATGTACTTTGTATGATTATATTGACACCACTGATATATCGTACCCTCAGTGGAAAATAGGCATAAGTGAATTTACATTGAATCATCGATTTTATCATATTTGAAAAGTACGTTTAAAGATACATACGCAATATTTTTTTCATATTTTTCTTGTTTAATTTGACGAATTAATTCAAGAAAATAGTTTTGAGAATTTATATTCCATCACTTTTTTTCTTAAGGATTAGTAGATTATGTGATATAACGCAAATAATAAATTAAAAAATATGACATATTAATTAATAATATGTTTATACCTAAAATTTAATGTAGAAAATAAATAGTAACAAATATTATGATTTAAATGCGTTTGCTTTTTTTACATCGCTAGTCTTGTATACACGATTATCTTTTTATTCGTTATATTAACTAGGTAAGGAAATTATCTTAAATGCGCTTACTTAACCAAAAAGATAAACTTAAAAAATAAAAACAGCAGTATGACTGTTTACTTCTTATGAACTTAAAATAAATTACAATAATAACAATTACTGCTTTTTTCCACTAAAAACTTTCCTTTACGTCGAAACATAAGACTACAAACTGCAGCACGGCTGTAACATAAGAATTATTACTTCTTTCTTCCACTAGAATATTTTCATTGCGTACGTGGACGTAAGATTTGATACAGCGGCGCGGGAGTAGACAGCGGGAACATAAGCGTGAATACGTCGATGCAGGGGGGAGGGGGCGGTGCGTATCCACGCGCTTGACAGTCAGTGCCCGTTTCTAGGTCAAGGTAATAGCTGCGTTTACGCATTTGCGAAAACAAAACAACAACAATTGAGTGGTTTTTCTTCTTATTTTAAAGTAAAGTGACCTGAAAATGTATAACCGGACACAGCACAGTAGGGCGAGAAGAATTTTGAAGTTAATAGGTAAGTACATTTAGATTTAATTCTTATAAAAGCTAAAAATAAATTATTCCACAATGACGTGTTTACTGTATAATCAATAACATTGAGCGACTGTCGTCCGACCTTTGTAACCGGAACCAAAACAATATCGTGGTTACACATTCTGAATGAATGAAGGTGCAGTTTCCTCACGATGTTTTATCTTACCGCCAGCTAGTGGTTCAAGTAGTATGTAAGTGCGCTAGACAATTACAGCAATCGTCTGGTCTCAAACTAGGGGAACCTATATGAATGATTCGCTGTCTATTATTATAAAATTAATTCTGTTACTAACGTGTAATTTTATTTCTAATTTGTAAAGACATACCATAGATGTTATAACAAAATGTGTATTTGTAAATATTTATATTAGGTACATGATACTTTCAAAATCGTTAACTAGGTATTATTGTTTAATCTATACTAATATTATAGAGAGGTAATATTATTTTGTTTGTTTGTTTGTAATAAATAGGCTCCGAAACTACAGGACCGATTTTAAAAGTTCTTTCACCATTCGAAAGCTACGTTATAAACGAGTAACATAAGCTACTTTTTATCCCCGTAAGTAGTTACCACGCGGGCGGAGCCGCGGGCGGAAGCTAGTATATTTATATAAAAGTAATCGATCTGTGTCCGAAAAAACCGACACAAAGTTTTTTCAACCCGGGAATTGAACCCAGGACTTATACCACTAAACTAACGAGGCGTTATATTTATATACTTACATCTAAAAATCTCAGCCATATCACTTTAATTACCTGGTCTTAAACTAAGGATTCTGTAAAGGATTTGGCAAGGGGTACGTACACTCAGACCCAAGTCAGTTTAGTAAATTTTGTTTGTTTGTCCGACCGGGAATCGAACCCGGAGCCTTTCGTCCTATAGACACTAATAATTGTGGCATCGAGGATGTCAGACAAATAATAATGTCTAACCTTAACTTACCTTATTTTGTGAGCAAGACGTCTTTAGTAACAACTTAATATGATATTATTTATATTACATTTTATAATAAAATAATTTATTTACAGACGACGACACAGAAGCAGAACAAACATCTGGAAATTATGAAGTCAGTCGTGGTGATATTATGTACACCGCGCCGTCAACAAGTCGAAGTAGCAGACGACAATCTACAGTAAATTACAGAATTAGTGAGTCTTCGAATGAAGAGCCATTTTCACCACCGGTATCTGAATATTTACCAAGTTCGAGTCCTAGTCCGATAGCAGACTTAGGCAATACTTTACCATCTGCAATATTGAATGACTTCGATTATAGTTTGAGAGATTGCTTAGGTAATTCTACACTTTTCTCTTCTCCAATTTCCACCACTCATAATAATTTAATTTTTATAGCGTCACTACTGTCGTTTTTATATCTAATCCTCAAAAAACAATTTCTATGGGTAACAAAGACAGTTATGAAAATTTAGCGGTATCATCAGGAAATTACATAGAAGGAGTTAATCCTTTGCCGAATGATGCCGATCTTGAACCCGTATCCACGTTCTGGTATAATGCACCACTTCCTGAAAAGAGCATAACTGCCGCAGAACCTGAAACAGAACCTACATTTACTAGCCCTACAAGAACTCTGCTGACTCTTGAAAGTACTACGGTCATGCTTCGTAAAGCAGAGCCTGCATCCATAGCATGTCGCGATGAATTTCCGTTAGTTGAACATAATACTGCCGCAGAACCTGAAAAAGAACTTACATCTACAAGTCTTGCAAAAACTCCACAGACTCTTGAAAATACCCCGGCTATACTACCTGAAGCAGAACCTACATCCATAACATGTTATAACGACGAAACTCTTCCAGTTGGACATAATACTCTCACAGAACCTGAAACAGAACCTATATCTACAAGCCCTGATAGAACTCCACCGGTCTCTTCAATTGCCACAGCTATAGTTCCTCACTCAGACCCTCCAATCATAGCCTGCCACGTTGAAACTCTACCAGCTGGATATAATTCCACCACAGAACCTGAAGCAACGAATTCTCGTCCAGTGTTAGTAACTGAAGCTAATACAAATCCTAGAAAAAGAAAGCGTAATCCCGAAAAATGGTCTCAAACACAAAAAAAAATCAAATTAAATACAGGTCAACAGCCTCAAAAACAAATGCAAGAGCCTTGCAAGTGTAAGCTTAAATGCTTTGAAAAAATACCCAGCGACAGGAGGTTGGTAATATTTAAGCAATTTTGGGCTTGTGGTAACCATGAGACTCAATGGCAATTCATTTTGAAAAACACTGAGATTATAGAACCTAAAGTTATGAAAATTCAGCGTAAGCGTGAACGAAATCGTACCCTGGTTTATTATTTGCCGTCAAAAACGATGTATGCCTTGTGACTAATTTGAAAGTGTGCAAAACTATGTTTCTTAATACTCTAGGTATTAAAGAAAGAACAGTTTACACTGCCATTGATAAATATGCTAATGGGGACCAAATAACAGACCTTCGAGGAAAACATACCAATAGACCTCATAGAACAGCCAGCGAAACAGAACAGAGTGCAATTCAACATATTCAGTCCTTTCCTTGTATCGAATCTCACTATCTTAGACAAAATTCCAGCCGTCAATATTTGTCACAAGACTTAAATATCTCAAAAATGCATCGTTTGTACAAGATTGGATATCAGAAAATGAAAACTTTCGTAATACTAAAGTGGCAAGCGAATATCAATATAATCAAATATTTAATACACATTTTAACCTTTCTTTTTTCCGGCCGAAGAAGGATTTGTGCAATTTATGTAGCAAATACGACAATTCAACTGAAGAAGGTAAATTACAACTGAAAGAGGATTATGACAGTCATATAAAAAATAAAAAACATCATACGAAATATGAAGGATATTGAAAAAGAATCAGCAGATCCTAATGTGAAAACTGTAGCTGTTTTTGACTTGGAAAAGGTTCTTAGTTTACCGCAATCTAATGTGAATATTTTCCATTATAAAAGGAAATACCCCGCATACAATTTCACTGTGTACAATTTAATATCCCATCAAGGGTTTTGTTATCTATGGCATGCACAAATTGCAAAAAGGGGTGCGAATGAAATCGCTAGTTGCTTATTACACTTCATTAAATCTGAAGTTAATAGGGGTATAAAGTCAATTTCACTGTATTCAGATAATTGTTCGGGCCAGAACAGAAATCGGTTCATATTCGCGATGTATATTTATGTATCACGTGTATTGAACGTAGAAGTTACACACAGATTTTACAAACTGGCCACACTCAGAACGAAGGCGACTCAATGCATGCCTGCATCGAGAAAAATATGAAAAATAAGACATTGTACTCGCCTGACCAACTGTACGAAGTAATCATGAATTCAAAAGTACAAAATAAGTTTGTAATTAAAGAAATGAATCAAAATGACTTTTACAACCTAAAAAGTCAAGTCACGACAAAGCAAGAATTGGTCACAAGACACAAACGGGCATAAAGTATTTTTCTCAAAAATTAAAGAAATCAAAACAAGTCCCGATGCACCAAATAAATTATTATTCAAATATGATTTCGAAAGTGAATATTTGGTACTAGACACTACAAATCGTACGACGACGACGCGCGCACGCAAATCAAATAATGCCAATGCTGTAGATGTTAATGAACTTCCACTTGCTTATGCTCAATTGTTACCTATTTCTGACGCGTTGTTTAAAGACTTAATTAGCCTGTGTGATACAAATGCTATACCTCTACATTACCAAACATTCTATAGAAATTTGTTACCAGTGACTGAATCTCCAAATTTGGAGGTATTTGATTCATCTGAAGAAGAATAACTTACTAGTTCCCGTATTTTTGATCTCATTATTATTTTAATTTGAATTTTGTTGAATTTTTATATTCATACGTATAAACATATTGATTATTAATAATTTTAAAACAAAAGGTATTGTGAAAGTATCAAAGGTCTTATTTTGTTAACAAATTATGCATGTCATGTTACCATAGATTTGTATTGAGAAAATAATAATATTTTGTTACATTTATATCCCTTCATTACCAAACATTCTATAGCCTAGAATGTTTGGTAATGAAGGAATTCGTAGAACGAAGATAACGTAGAAGGGAACAAGAATTTTTTGATTTATTGCTTAAAGAAGGTTTTTTTTTGTATTTTTATTTGTTGATTATTTTAAAACAAAAGGTACTGGCAATGTGTAAAGTACCTTGATTTGTTAATAATTTTTGCTTGTTATCTTAGATTTTTATTGAGAGAACATAATATTTTGTTGTACGGAGCCAAGAAAGAAGTTATTTCGTTAATTGTTACAAATCTTAACAAATGATCTACTGATTAGTTAATCATTTAAAAAAAAGTCATTAGTGGTAGTAATCTTCACCGAAACTCCACATTGCTGAATTATTACTGTCAAATTTTATTGTTGCTAGTACAACTTTAATTGTAGCCAAAACTATAATTATAATTTGCCTGAAATAAAAAAAAAATGAACACAAAAAATGCATTTCCTTTTTTTCCCTTTAGTCATAAATATTAACTCTAAGTAATATGTGTTAATATGCAGCTAACTTTTCTTTAACATAATAATGGAATAAGTAATTATCTTTGTTTATTTAAGTTACCTTAGCAAGCCCCTAAATTGAAAAATGGGGTAAGTATTGCTAATACATTTCAAACATAATTGTAATAAAGGAAATAATGTAGTAATCTTACTTATACTAGCATAAATGTTTGTATTTACAAGTTCATTACTGCTTTAATACAACATACTTTTTGAAATATTTTTTCTTTTCTGGCAAAGTCTGGCATACATTTTGATACTCAGAATCCTGTATTTCATTACATTTTGAAAAATAGCATAATATTTTATTTTTACAATTCCTAATAAACTATAAACATTAGTACTAACTTAAATACAACACGCAGTGCAACTTTTTTTTCTCCTTTTTTTGATACAAGAATAATTCTTCTTCGTTTAAAAATAAAGTAAATATGCCCATAAATTCAATTTTTTCGCCATACTGAAAAATCACCATTTTCGTCTTATGCCTTTTTTCCACTGGGGGTACGATATGGCGATGGAAAACATCGTGAGGAAACCTGGACTTATAACTTCTAATAATAAGTTTGAAATCGCCAATCCGCCTTGAGCAAGCATGGCGATAAATGCTCAAACCTTCTCCGTGTGAGAAGAGTCCTTTGCTCAGCAGTGGGCACTTATAGGCTGATGATGTGATGTGAATACGGGTTTCCTATACTCATTTGAAATTATGACTCTCTTAACAATCACTTGTATTTCAGGGTATATATGGAAGCAAAGCATCAAAAGATTAGCTGGAACATTCACCAGCCACGTGGTGGATGGCTACCAGGACGTGTTCAATGTTCAGGCACAGAAGTTGGTTATCAATTTGAAGACTAAAGTGGGGAAGGAACCTTTCGATATTATGCATATGTTGGCGTTTTCTACATTAGAAACTATTTGTCGTAAGTTGTAATTTATAGATGAAACTAGCTTCCATCAGTGGCTTCACATGCATGGTATGTTGATAAAAAGCCTATGTGTTGTTCCAGGATGTCACCTATCTACATTCCAAATTTTAATCAAATTGGTCTATTCGTTTTTGCGTCATAGAATAACAAACATACATACATCCATTGATTCTTACAAAGTTTCACAATTATAATATTAGTAGGATTTATCACCATCTTCCTTATTGGCTGGCTGTTTTAAGTGGGTTTATGATAGTTTGCGAGCTTAGCAGTGATATCGGAATCGCATTTAGATCATCAACATTTTATAATGATGACCCTTGTCTCTTTAAGCAGCTGGTCAGAGGTTGTTAATTTCCAGCCAGTGAATGAAAATAGTTTTTTTACGTCATCGGTCAGCAAACAAGTAGACGGATTACCAGGTGGTAAGAAATCGGTGTCGCCCATGAACACTAGATAAGTTACGAGTACGTTGCGGGCCTTTTGGGATTAGGATTCTGGAGATTTAGTGCTTGGGGAAGGATAGAGGGGAGAAGGGATTGGGCCTCACTCACTCGGCGAACCACAACGCTGTGATTTTTTTCTAAGGGCGTGGTATCACTCTGATCGTGCCGTCCCATTATTGCAGAGCATGGCTCTCTCATACATAATGATGTAAAAAAATGACTATATATTTTTTTAGAAACGGCTCTAGGAGTGTCGAATATATCAGATAGTATTGTGACGGAGGAATACTATGAGGCATTCAACCGCTGCCTTGAGCTGATGGTGTACAGGGGTGTGAACGTCCTGCTGCACCCTGATGCCATCTACCGACTCACTCCTGCACACAGGGAGATGACGAAATGCGTTGCTGTTCTGCACAAAGTTTCCGATAATGTGAGTTTTGTGAAACGTTTTCTTAGGCTCTGCCAGTTTTGACGAATGAAATAAAAAGAAATGTGTATTATTAGGCTTAAAACTGATCTTTTATAAACAGGTGATGAAGAAGATACTTCTAGAACAGAAGGATATAAACACAAGTAAAACAACAGGAAACGATAGTCAAGGTAAGAGCGCGGATTTTCGCAACGCTTGTATATAGGTAGGGTATAAATTAGAATATGTTAAAACATTTAAATGTTCAGATAAAGGGTCAAAGTTCAAGGCGTTTTTGGAAATTCTGTTGGAGATGAGAGAAATAGACCGGAACCTGACGGATTATCAGATCAAGTCGGAGGTGGACACCATCATATTAGCTGGACAGGAGACGGTAGCCACTGCTTTCTTCTACACCCTGTTGATGATCGGATGCAAGCCAGAAGTCCAGGAAAAGATGTATGCTGAGTAAGTACAAAAAAGTATACCAATAAATTAAGAAATCTATGTCGTGGTGGGCCGGAGGTTAAGCTTCTCGTGCATGGGTTCGAAGCTTGGCAAGTACCAATGTGACTTTTCCGAGTTATATGTACTTTCTATGATTATTTAAACAACACTGACATACGGTGACAGAAAACATCGTGGGGAAACCTGGACTTATAATTTCTCACAACTGTCACACTGTCACTTACAACTGTCTTTTTAGGTATAACCCTGGACGCTAAGCTCCAGTGGGGCCCACATATAGATGGCTTGTCGAAGAAGCTCAGTTCTGCAGCATATGCCGTTAAAAAAATTAGAAATTTAACAGATGTAGATACAGCGCGGTTAGTTTATTTTAGTTATTTCCACAGCATCATGTCATACGGTATTTTGTTGTGGGGGAATGCTGCTGACATTCAGTCTATTTTTGTTCTGCAGAAAAGGGCTATTCGATCAATCTATAATCTTAGTCCGAGGCATTCGCTCAGAGAATTATTTAAGGAAACTAAGATAATGACGGTTGCCTCACAATATATTTATGAAAATGTAATTCACGCTCATAAAAACAAAAGCTTATTTAAGAAGCATAGTGATATACATAATATTAACACGAGGGGGAAAAACAAATATGTTGTTCCCGCCTCCAGGCTTCAGAAAATAAGTAGTTCGTTTAGATGTCAATGTATACGCTTTTACAATAAAATTCCTAGGGATATTCAAAATTTGAGCCTCAATCATTTTAAAAGTGTAATAAAGGCTAAACTTTACTGTAAAGCATTTTATAAAATAAAAGACTACTTAGAAGATAGTCAGGCTTGGGAATGAGCCGCTGTAACTTCTGCACAGGTCATGTTGACATGTTTGTAACATAAGTTACGCTTTTTATATACAATTTGACATTACGTTTATTATTATTTTTTTTTTAACAATGACATTATCACCTATTGTGACATTTTTATTTTTATTTGACATTTTTTATTTTATTTATTATTTTTATAATTATTTATTGACATTATTATTATTTTCTATTATTGTTAGTGTAAGGACCGTGTGAGACTTGCCGCGCTTTTGGACTACCAGTTATCTGCGTTCTGACAGTTTGAGTACTTGCGTGACCCAACCAAATGTTCTTTAGATCGGTATTGTTCGTCGGACAACTCAGCAGCACTTGCTATGCTGGTTGCAAACTGACACTTGCGTGCCTGTCTTCAGAACGGGTCCACTTAAACTGGTGTGGTTCTTTCATCAAAAGACCACTACAGAATGAACTTGCACGGTTCTCTCACATTATGTTATTTTTACATCGTCTGGACTTGAAAAGAGACTGACCTCTAAGTTTGTTTCGGCATTTCTTCTCAGAGTAGTCAGATAGGAAATGCCGGCTTCATCTAGTTTTTTACATATAAATTGACGTGTAAAAGTGCCGTTTTATGGCCTATTTGCAAAAATAAATTCATTGTTTCATTGTTTCAAATTCATTGTTTCATTGTTTCTCATAATAAGTTTGAAATCGCCAATCCGCCTTGAGCAAGCCTTGGGATAAATGAAAATACAATAAAATTTTATTCAAAGTACAAAATTTCTGTAAAGTCCCGACTTCCGAGCCAAGGTCAGACCTGTGTTACGAAAGTGCCCTCTCCCATCTTCTCTCTTGGTAGTATAGGACCGTTATCGTTGGAACTCTTATCAAAAATGGGATAGATGTTGTGACATAAGAAGCCAAGTCTCACTCTTTATAGGCAATTACATCTTACAATTTACCCTTAAAGAAGATTTGCGTTGCTTGATAATGAATCTCTAGTTCATTTAATATGAGAAATGACAACCATATTTGTTTATATCATCACAATCATTTCATAGAGCTTTAAAGATTTTTTAATGACCATGTCCAGGCTGTATAGTATATTCGGCGACAGCAAGCGACCTGTGTGCAAGGAGGACCTCGCACGAATGAGTTACTGTGAGGCAATCATTAATGAAACACTACGGTTGTACCCACCTGCACCCGGCGTCATGAGGTACGCTGACAAGGATCTGAAACTGAGTAAGTAGACTTAGCTATGCCAATTATTGCTTAAATTATTATTTAAGGGACATATACTAAATCTGGATGCCTTACTCTTGCTGGTGAGATCAAAATTAGCTTATAGAATTTTATTTCGTACGAAGATCACAGGCTACTACCGTTAGCGCAGGTCTGCTGACGGCGAGGAAGTGTAGCTAGCCGCCTGACCATAACCAGACCTGAGCTTACAGCGCCTTGCGTTCCGCGCACCCCTCAAAGAGCCAATAGACCAATAGGTACACTATTGCGGGTTAAGCGCAATAACTGATGACTGCGGCCGGCCTGGAACAGGAGAAGAAAACTGGTGGTTTTTAGTCAGTCTAAGAGGCTCATACTCCCTCTCGCCACACCTAGGGCGTGCAAAGTCATTTGATGATTTTTCAAATTAAAAAAGAGTTTATTTTCGACTGTAACGTAACACAGGCAACTTTTTTACCCGATTTAAAAAAAAAAGATGATGTTGCTTAATTCGGCAGAATCTTCTATTTTTTGAGTCATTTGTTAATGAGTAATATTCATTTCTTCCAGAATCCTTCACGATCCCGAAGGGCACAATCTGTGCCATAAATTTTTGGGGAGCGGGAAGATCGTTGCAAGCTTGGGGACCAGACGCTAAGGAGTACAGGCCTGAGCGCTGGTTGGAAATGCAGCCTCCTGGCAACCCTGCTGCATTCCTCCCTTTCAGTTATGGAAGACGAGCTTGTATTGGTAAATTGCCTGTAGTTTCTTTTTGTTCTTAGTAAGCTTAAGGATTATCAGTCAGAAGACCTCAGTTGCCAAACGCTTGAAAAACTGGGCTACGATCCTTAGACTTATCAGGAGGATGAGAATTATATCTTAATAATGTCAATGGTTGCTTATTGAGCCAACGTTGATTGAAGTTTCCTTCTCTGCTTGGCGAGGCAGTCAAGTAAATTGAAGTTAAAGATGACGTAATTAATACCAGCGAACCGCACGGGTTCAATGCTGATACAAAATTTCTCCAATATTTAATGGATGTTATTATACATGTATACCTACCTGTCCCTTCAATCACTCTGTCTATTCAAAAACCGCATCAATATCCGTTGCGTAGTTTTAAAGATTTAAGCACACATAGGGATATATAGACAGTTAAGCGAGTTTGTTTTATACTATGTAGTGATAGCAGAAGAGTAAGAGGATAATGTACAGATATTAGTTTCTTTTCAGTTTAAAAAAAATACTGCTAGGTGATTACATAGGACTCATATTATAAGTTTGAAATCGCCAATCCACCTTAAGCAAGAGTGGTGATTAATGCTCAAACTTTCTCCATGTTAGAAGAGCCCTTTGCTCAGCCGTGGGCACTTATAGGCTGATGGGACTCATAAGTTATGAAAGTAGTGGTATACATATAAATTGCCAAACGCTTCTGCCTCCATCTTCCGGGCCCTTTGTAAGGTAGTAGAAAATCATAACAATTACGACGAACAATACTGGGATTTCTCTTTAAAGACAATTTATTTATTTATTTATTTAAACTTCATGCACAATTGGTACATAGGCGGACTTAATGCCTAAGGCATTTTCTACCAGTCAAACCTTGGGTGATGCAGAGATTAGCCAATGGTCGGTGCAAGAAGCAAGCAAACGGCTTAATTTTAAATCTGTTATGACATACGAGATAGATATGTATATATGTGCGTATTATTAACGTACAAGTTACTATTACTAATATATACCTACATTCATACTCAAATTATATTATATAATAATAAATAACATCTACATATATATACTATATACATACATATACTATATACATACATATACTAATACTTATTAATAATAATGTATGGTGGTCACGATTTAGCCAAACCTTTCAATAAAGCTCACGAACCTTTTGTTTAAAAGTCAAGCGACTAGACACCATCCTGACATCCGGGGGGAGCGCACAATTAAAGTAATTATTGGATAATAATTGTTTAATTGGAAACGACATAAGTATTTAATTTTAATGTTGGTAATATGGATTTTACCACTTTTTTACGTTGGCAATAAAGTCTGTGTAGGTACCTACTACAGCTTAGTATAATTACGAGTATAAGAAACATTTATTCAAATGGCAATAATTAAATAGTAAGCGATGTTAATAAAGAATGATGGTATCGTTGTTAGAGTTATAAGTATTGTTCCAATTTTAAATTTTTAATTTTTTATATACAACGACCCAATGTCTGGACTAATTCTGGCCAACTCTTTTTTTTATTTATTTTTCGTTATATTTGTTATTGTTAGGGTAAAATTCTAAATAAAGAAATATTTTAGAAAAGTAGAACGGAATATCGAGAATTAGCAACTAGAAAACCTGCCATGGAGTTTCTTGTTCGTTCTTCTCAATTCGAATCTACACTTTAGAACGGGCACCTAACTTCACTGAGGAACTGACTGATAGGTTATTTTCTGTTTATGGTTTAGTTGGTACAAATAACTTTGACGATTTTATAAGAAAAAAGAAAGAAAAAGAAAAGAAAGAGCTAAAAGTATGATATGCGATATGTTTGGCGAGGATCTTTAATAAGAGGAACAAAATGTACTTAATTCTTAAAATTGTACTTTTGTTAAATAAATAAATGAAATTGTTTGTGAATTTAAAAAAATATGGTCAAAAATATTTTTTTTTGAAATCGTTGCCCCGCAACACACAATTTTACATACACACCACACTCATACTCGGAATAACAAATTGTGGATCACACGAAGAGTTGTTCCGTTCGGGGATCCGATCCGCGACACGTTGCGCAGTCTTTGCACAGACACAGGGCCAACCGCGCAGTCAAAAAATAATTCAAACACACTTCCTCATAAAGTAACTCTAATCCCACGGCAATTAGGCACGTAAAGACACTTATAATCAAACTTTGGCTTATTCATTTCTATTATTCACAAGGGACTAATAGAGTTTTTTTTAAAATTATTAGTTGAGTTACGCTTATCTTTGCGCTAAAATGCTATCCGCGAAAAGCCAAAAAATTTAAATATAAGTTTTTAGTCTATGGCCGATGCGCGCGCAATGGAATGCTGATTAAGTATTTTTTCCCGCCATTACGAAACACTTTTCACAACTCTCGCGTGTGTCTCGTTTTCTCTTTGAAGTTTTTTAATTTAAGTATTATTTTATTCAGAATTGTGTTGAAAACGTCGTATGATATACGTGTGTATTGATGATTACCGTCCCAATCACGAACTTTGCACACTTGTAGTTCAATAATGTACATTAACTCCAAGCTTACGACATTGGAGACAAAAGCTAGTGAAATAATTAATAAATTCTTCTTCTTCTTTTCTAGGTAAGAAATACGCAATGACGATTCTGAAAACGATGCTGGCCCACTGTGTTCGTGAGCTGGTGTTTGAGTCCCAGGCTGAGAATTTGCAGCTAAAGGTAGACTTAGCCCTACGACCAGTCTCCGGCCATCTTATACAAATCAAGTTGAGGGAAACTGAAAACTGTCGCAGGCAACTAGCTTAATTATCAATTTAGTCACCGGCCTGATTTACTAGCTGTTTGATTGTTTGAATATCTGTTTCGTCACAATTTTGGTTAGCTAGGGTTGGGGGGTAAGCGCAATGAGGCACCGCGGCCTCGGCCTAGAGCAGGAGAAGGAACGGGCGGGTTTTGTCAGTAAGAGTCTGACATTTCCTCTCGCTTTACCATGGGCGGGAGAAGTCATTTGATAAATTTCCCCGCACAAAATGAGCACAATTTTGGTAACTGTTTTTTTTTGTGATCGTGAGCCGATTTTTGTGCTTCAGACACAGACACAGGTCTTACATAACTTACTGCCATTCTGGTAGCAATACTTGTTTTTCCAAAAAAATCCATTCACTCTTGAACTACCTAACAGCTTAAACGAGATAGGCTTTCAATCAAACATCTTCTCAATCAGGCCATTGATTGATTTTTATATAGAGATTATTATAATAAAATGTACCGTATAGAAATTAGTATTTGTGATAGATTTTCTTATTATTATACAAACTGCGGATTCGTTAGTTAGTTAGAAATTATTATTTAATAATAAATGAGTATATTATGTATATGTATTGTTCTACACGATGCATTCTGCCGATACTTTTCGGTAATTTATCTGTACAAAATACATATAATAAGTTATACCTGTCAATGCATTTTATTTTAAGTGACAGCTATTCAAAATGTATCACTAAAGTGTAGGTACAATGTTTTTGTTGTGTTTCACCGTGACATTAAAGCCTCATCCCGTCCATCTATCCCCATTTAGGGCTGATTTTTCAATGGTTAGATAAAAGTTATCTGAGGAATAATTATGATGCTTTCGCGTCAGAATGTTTGTATAAGACAGTGACAGCAACAATCTTATTCCTCAGATATCATTTATCTGACTATTGCAAAATCAGCCCTTAATATATTAAACCTTAATGGAAGAAAATTTAAAACTTATATATTAAACGCGAGTGGTGTAGACAAGCATTCTAAAAATGTTGGATTATAAATAAATAAATAATAAATAAAATAAAATCATTTTATTTCAGACGTTAGTCGATAATTTTCAAATTCATTACATACGTCATTATATTTTTTTTTAAAGTTTGCCCCCCATTATGATTTTCTCCTGTGCTGTAGGTGCGGTTACAAACATATAATTTCACATGCACATGACACCCAGACCCGGAACAACAATTAGTGGGTCAAACAAAGAGTTGTTCCGTCCGGGAATCGAACCCGAAATCGAATTATGATATTACATTATAAAAATATTATCATTATTATATTATATCTATGTTATTAATTTATTATATTATAGTATTTTATAGTATTGTGACAGAAAACTCTTTGACATCATGACGTCAATGGATGGTTGTCAAACGTTGCCTAGAGATTGTAAATTTCGTCGTGAATTGTCAACACGAGTTGGTGTAATCGGTAAGGCGTGTGGATTACACCACAGAGACCCCGAGTTCGAGTCCCGCCGTAAACATGAAGTTTTTTAGTTGATGGAAGTTTTGTCGAACTTTCTGGAATATTTGAGTGAAAGTGATGAAAAATTAAGGAGCGAGAAGGAGAATAAATAAAAATGAATAACGAAATTATTGGAAGGTTCTGGAGGCATGACGATCAAAAAGAATAACGAAATTGAATGTTCTAGAACCTGACCGGGGGTATATAAGCGGAACTGCGGCTCACCGCTGGCAGTTGAGTTCTAAGTCTAAAGCGATTCGGAAGAAAAGGAAGAAGTGAGAAAGAAGAAAAGTGAGTGAAATAGTGAAGTGCAGTGAAATAGTGAAGTACAGTCAGTTAAGTGAGTTAAGTCAGCGTGAACGGCAAAGTTGTGTCAGTCGGCCGGACTCTGCTGGAGAGGAACGCCGATAACTTAACTCCGTGGACGCTGTAACTTAAGTGCAATAGAAAGTCTGAAAACCGGTATTAGTGTTTCATTTCATCCAATCCCGTAACCCAAGCCCGCATAGTCAGGAACGTGACGGCAGGCACGTAACATTTGGTGTCAGAAGTGGGATTGGAGAAAAATGCCGCTAGTGCCGCAGGACGTAAGAGGAGTGAGTACCCGTTCAATGTCAGAAGCGCAGCGTGTGAGGGAAGAGGGTGCTGCAGCTCAAACCAGCGATGCAGAAGCCAAGCCTGTGCAGGTGGATCTTCTGCTACAGCTGCAGCACATGATGGCAGAGCAAGCGCGCCGCCAAGAAGAGCAAGCGCGCCGCCAAGAAGATCAAGCGCGCCGCCAAGAAGAGCAAGCGCGCTGTCAGGCAGAACAGCTGCGGGAGCTGAAAGAAGAGCAAGCGCGCCGCCAAGAAGAGCAAGCGCGCCGCCAAGAAGAGCAAGCGCGCCGCCAAGAAGAGCAAGCACGCTGTCAGGCAGAACAGCTTCGGGAGCAAGCACGCTGTCAGGCAGAACAGCTTCGGGAGCAAGCACGCTGTCAGGCGGAACAGCTACGGGAGCTGAAAGAAGATCAAGCTCGCCGCCAAGAGGAGCAAGCGCGTCGCTTGGAAGAGATGCATAAGGATTTCACGAAGGGACTGCAAAAGGCTGTCGAACGGGTACAAGAAGTGGAGGAAGGGTTAGGCAAGTTGAAACTTCGCGTCATGGCGATAGAGGAGAGACTGGAAGAAGAGATCTCCAAAATCAAGCAGGAAGTGACAAACCCAAGCCCTTTGAAGAGCCGAAGCCGTCTTGCAGCCGTTTTTGACGCCCCAAATGCGGCCTTAAGCGCAACGAAAGGGCTCAAGATTCCCCATTACGACGGAACAACATCCTGGACTGCGTTCAAGCTACAGTTTGAGACACTTATGGAGGCTTATGGTTGGACTCAGAAGGAAGCACAGTCAGCCCTTACCCTGGCCCTCCGTGATCAAGCGCTCTCAGTGCTGGAAGCTATCGGCGCAAGTGGGGATCTCAGCTTTAGTGCCCTCCTCGACGCACTTGAAGCACGTTTTGGAGACAGCCACCTCGAGCACGTGTATAGAGCGCAATTAAAAGAGCGTACTCAGCGTGCTAATGAGAGCCTACAGCAATGGTCCGTGGAAATCGAGAAACTTGTACGTCGAGCTTTCCGGTCGACTCCGTCAATGATTGAAGGCACGCTTCTCCAAGCGTTCATTGACGGTATTCGGGACCCAGAAGTACGAGCTGCTGTTCATCTGGGCCATCACAAGATCATGAAAGAAGCTCTGGCCCATGCATTGGAAGTGGAAGCCGTGCGTAGCAACTCCCGTACCTTACGTCTGCGGGAAATGACGACAACGGAGCAGGTACCTCCACGCCGTCGGAACTTCATGTGCTATGGATGTGGAGAGCGTGGGCACATACGGAGCGACTGCCCGAAGAAGATGAACCGCAAGGACGCGGCGGTCTCAACTTCTGACCAGCAGGGAAACTTAAACCCAGCCAGGGCTGCGGGGTGGGCGCCGGCTGGTAGTGGAACAACCCCAACAATCTACATCAAGCAAACCAACGATGGAAATACTCTGGTGATAGACGGTCAAGTAAATGGGAAAAACAGTCAGCTAACATTAGATACTGGAGCTTCAAGGACGGTGATAAATGTTCGGCTGCTCGAGCACAACATCAGGAAACACCTTAAACCAATTGTTGGCCTACAAATGAAATCAGCTACCGGCCAGTGCATACCGATAAGTGGAAAACTGCATGTAACAATCAAAATTGGGGAACGTGTTTATCGACATGAGGTTATTGTGGCCAAAATTCTGGATGACTGCATCCTGGGACTTGACTTCCTGCAAGGGCACCAGTGTAACATCGACTTAAAATCTGGAGTATTACTATGTGGAACTGAGGAAATTCCGATGAAGGGTGGAACCCTGGGAAAAGTTTGCTGTTTAAGAAGAACTGTTCTTGCACCAAAATCGCAGACTCTCGTACCAATTGCATTACCTAGGAGGAGGGAAGGAAGTTTACCTCGAAGGTGCGCTGTGATTGATAAATCGGAACACGTAAACTCATGGCTACCGGCAAGAACTGTCGTGGGGTCATCTGATGTTAACCGCATTCCGGTATTCAACTTCAGTGATTCAGAAATTACGATTGAAGAAGGAGAGCCTGTGGGCGTATTGGAAGAAGTGGCCTGGATAAGAAAATGCTCGGAAAATGTTGTGAAGAAGGACAGTACGGGAATAGACTTTGTAACGAAAATCTTAGACGAAAACAAAAGTCTGACAAAAGTGGAGACTATGAAAGCTAGAAATTTACTTCTTCGATTCTCTGATGTGTTTTCAAGAAGCGATGGTGATATTGGCCGAACTGGTTTGGTGAAGCATAAAATAAACACAGGTGATACAATGCCAATTCGTCAAAGGCCCAGACGTATACCATTCGCTCGTGAGAAAGAGGTTGAAGAAATGATTGACGATATGAGGAAAAATGACGTGATAGAGCCCTCTTCTAGCCCTTGGTGTTCACCTGTCGTGCTTGTCAAGAAGAAAGTTGGTTCAACGAGGTTTTGTGTAGACTATCGACGATTGAATGATGTAACCAAGAAGGATAGCTACCCGTTACCAAGAATCGATGACACACTTGACACACTGAGTGGCATGAAATGGTTTTCAACGCTCGATCTGAAAAGCGGCTATTGGCAGGTGGATTTGGATCCCAAGGACAAGGAAAAGACCGCATTCTCAACTGGGAAGGGACTCTGGCAATTTAAGGTGATGCCATTTGGATTATGCAATGCACCGGCAACCTTTGAGCGTTTGATGGAACAGGTGCTGGTGGGACTGCTGGGCGAAACCTGCCTAGTTTACCTCGATGACATCATCATTGTTGGACGGGATTTTGACGATCATCTAAGGAAATTGGAAAAGGTACTCGACAAGCTGCGTGGAGCAAATTTAAAGTTGAGTCCAAAGAAATGCTCTTTCTTCAAGCGCGAAGTGAATTATCTAGGACATGTTATTTCTGAGAGAGGAATTGAGACTGATCCAGCCAAGACTGTCGCTGTTAAGGAATGGCCAACACCTAAAGACAAAACGCAAGTTCGGGCATTTCTTGGATTGTGCTCATATTATCGGCGGTTTGTGAAAGGATTCTCGGACATTGCCAAGCCTTTGCATCGATTGACAGAGGAGAAACGTGCCTTTATCTGGGACGAGGATTGTGAGCAAGCCTTTCGAGACCTAAAAGAACGGCTTTGTAACACACCAATTCTCGGATACCCCAGCGCGAAAGGAATATTCGTAGTTGATACGGATGCCAGCAATATTGGAATAGGAGGTGTCCTTTCACAACGCGATGGTGAGCAGGAGAAGGTTATTGCTTACTTCAGCAAGTCACTATCGAAGCCGGAGAGGAATTATTGCGTGACCAGGAGGGAATTACTGGCCGTAGTCAAAACCCTGCACCATTTCAAGAAGTATTTACTGGGACGGAAATTTTTGATCAGAACTGATCACGCTGCTTTGAAATGGCTGCTTCAGTTTAAGGATCCCGAAGGCCAAGTAGCCAGATGGTTGGAACAACTTCAGGAATTTGACTTTGAAATCGAACATCGCGGCGGAAGAATTCATGGCAACGCAGATGCATTATCGAGACGCCCATGCGTGGAGGATTGCAAGCATTGTGCCAAGAAGGAAATTGCTTTTCTTAAGGTGATAAGGACTGATACTGTTGACGAGGCATGGGGAGATGATGCAATGAAATTAGAACAGGAAAGAGATGCAGATATCAAACCAATATTGGAGTGGCTACGAAGTGGTAACAAGCCAAGTTGGAGTGACGTCGCCCAATATAGCGCAGTAACGAAAGGTTTATGGGCACAGTGGAAAAGCCTTACGCTGCATAATGGACTTCTGTGCAGAAAATGGGAATCAACAAACGGCAAGGACGAGCATTTGCAATTGGTGGTACCTCGTTCAAAAATAAGGGATGTATTAAAAGCGTTCCATGATGGATCTTCTGGAGGACATTTGGGGATTAGGAGGACTTTGGTGAAGATCAAGGAGAGGTTTTATTGGTTGCATTGCAAATATGACGTCGAAGATTGGTGCCGGAAATGCACTAGTTGTGCAGCTGTCAAGGGTCCACAAACAAGGAGCAGGGGGGCGATGAAAATCTACAATGTTGGTATGCCTTGGGAGAGAATAGCCTTAGACATCGCTGGACCATTTCCAATCACTGATTCGGGCAATCGCTACGTTTTAGTGGTTATGGATTATTTTACAAAATGGCCGGAGGTCTTTGCTATACCGAATCAAGAGGCAGTAACTGTAGCGACGAAGTTGGTAAACGAGGTATTCACCCGATTCGGAGTGCCCTTGGAGATGCACAGTGATCAAGGACGGAACTTTGAATCCCAAGTTTTCCAGGAAACTTGTAAACTTTTGGGAATCCATAAGACTCGAACGACCCCTTATCATCCACAGTCAGATGGAATGGTCGAACGCTTCAACCAAACATTGGAGCGACACTTAGCAAAGGTGGTTGACAGCCATCAGAGAGATTGGGACACTTACATACCTCTCTTCTTGCTTGCCTATCGGACTGCTGTACATGAAAGTACCGCAAAGACGCCTGCATTTGCAAATTTTGGAAGGGAATTGAGATTACCGGCAGATCTTGTATCGGGCTGTCCACCTGGTGATTCTCGCACCGAGTTTAGCGATTACATAAGCGAGTTAAGGGCAAAAATGTTGGACATTTATGAGCAGATCAGGGAGGCCGGTGTTCAAGCTAGTGATCGCGCAAAGACGCGCTATGATCGACGAGCCAATTCTGTTGGGTTTGAAGAGGGGTCATTGGTCTGGCTTCATAATCCAGTCAGAAGGAAGGGAAAATCTCCAAAGCTGCAACCGAGTTGGGAAGGTCCTTACGAGATAGTCACGAAGATCAATGACATTACTTACAGAATTCGGAAGTCTTCAAGGAGCCCTTTGAAAGTTGTCCATATAGACAGGTTGGCGAGGTATTACGGCAGCAACGATGCTCGGGACGAGCGAATCTAAGAGGGGGGCAGTGTGACAGAAAACTCTTTGACATCATGACGTCAATGGATGGTTGTCAAACGTTGCCTAGAGATTGTAAATTTCGTCGTGAATTGTCAACACTAGTTGGTGTAATCGGTAAGGCGTGTGGATTACACCACAGAGACCCCGAGTTCGAGTCCCGCCGTAAACATGAAGTTTTTTAGTTGATGGAAGTTTTGTCGAACTTTCTGGAATATTTGAGTGAAAGTGATGAAAAATTAAGGAGCGAGAAGGAGAATAAATAAAAATGAATAACGAAATTATTGGAAGGTTCTGGAGGCATGACGATCAAAAAGAATAACGAAATTGAATGTTCTAGAACCTGACCGGGGGTATATAAGCGGAACTGCGGCTCACCGCTGGCAGTTGAGTTCTAAGTCTAAAGCGATTCGGAAGAAAAGGAAGAAGTGAGAAAGAAGAAAAGTGAGTGAAATAGTGAAGTGCAGTGAAATAGTGAAGTACAGTCAGTTAAGTGAGTTAAGTCAGCGTGAACGGCAAAGTTGTGTCAGTCGGCCGGACTCTGCTGGAGAGGAACGCCGATAACTTAACTCCGTGGACGCTGTAACTTAAGTGCAATAGAAAGTCTGAAAACCGGTATTAGTGTTTCATTTCATCCAATCCCGTAACCCAAGCCCGCATAGTCAGGAACGTGACGGCAGGCACGTAACAGTATTTTATCGTATTTATTTTTAAATCAATTTAATTGTACACATTGAGGATAAGAATGCCTGGCAGCATGTTGGTTCTTCTCCACTGGATAATACTCAAATATAGTCAGTAGTTACTGAATTCGAAGAACTAATGAATACTTAATTTCGTATTTAAACATTTCTTTTTTATAAAATTTGAACATAGTTTATACTGAAGCATTTTTAATATATCTATTCTGCAGCTGGTTCGCTATAAAATTATAATCGTATAGAAGTTTACTAATGATAGAAACTACAATACATAATTGTTCAATGCTCCGAGGGCTGACGCCAATTCAGGACAATTTCCGAAGGAACGCAGAGAATGTCCTTTAATGACTGCACGGTTGGTGCGGTGGCTGGGCAACTGGCTGCCGTGTAAGGCGTCGCGGGTTCGATTCCCGCACGTGAAATTGAATATTTGTAACCGCACCCACGACACAGGGGAAAATCAGAAAGTGGGGCAACGTTTTTTTTTTAAAAAAATATGAGGATTTGATCTTCAATAATTTGCTCTCTGCATTGATCATATGGTGAGCACCTTCTCCGTGTGAGAAGAGGCCTTTGCTCAGCAGTGTTGCTGAT